AAGCAGCTGGCATAGCAATGGCAATACCTTCGGGAATGTTGTGCACAGCAATAGCTGCCATCACCTCAGAGGATGCTCATCTATGCTGATCCGCCAATCAACCCTCGTATTGCTGCGGCAGTGCAAACGCTAAGAGCCCCGCAACAACTCCCAGGTGTTCACTTTGCAGGGATGACACCTCAATTTCGAACACCGAAAGATATGGCCGAAAGATATGTTGCATGTATATACTTGTTATACTAGTAGCATGTTAATGTATGTTATGGTATTCTTTAATGACATTATTCCTTCCAACAACTGCTGTCACGAAATTCCGAAAGTGGCTCGCTTGGGTGCAAGGCTCCAACTGCCAGTCCCTCCGGAAAGTTGTGCGCAGTGAGCGCGAGCCTTGGTGCCGTGAGGTCGTTAGTGCCTCGTTGCCCGTTGCACTTGACTGCTTGACCCTTCAATTCTGAGGTCGGAGGCATCATAAGAAACGCCAAACGCCACTGCCTACGGCCGGACTGAGAACAGGATGGCGAGGCTCATAGAAACTCGGCAGAATGTCTTGCATTAAGTGACCAAAAAGTCCTGTACACTGCTCCGAATGTTAGGATAGAGAGAGAGAGAGAGAGGAAAAAAAGGTAGCTCGATGGCCTCACTTTCGCTTCAGTAGGAGGAGGATCGCGGGCCTTTTGTTCCATGCAAAAAAAAACCGTGTAATGCACTGAATGCACTGTGTCTATCTTGCAACACTTCTGAGGATGACACATGGCCCTTCTCTGGGTCCGCACAAAGGTCCTCATCTACTGAAACTTGCCGGAGAGAATGAAAGTAGCAAAAAGGCACTCGGGAGCACATTCTCCTCATCCTTCTTTCCGCTACAAACCATCTCGGGCTCACTCACTAATCTCCTGCGGAGGCACCAATGTAAGCGCAAAATCTATGAACTTCGTCTAAACTTGTTCGTTCGCTGGCACTGCAATCATCCATCCGAATTGGGATCACAACAACCACTACTGCAAACACTGGAAAGCCTATGAAACAACCGTGCTTTTCTTAACATTTCTTAACCACTCACTAAAGTCTTCTTGATAACTGTCCCAGGCACCGACCTCAGCATCACGAAGCTAAGAAATCCAAAGAGGCCAGACAGAGATGCCTCCACAGATGCAAGATGCCTACCACAGATGTCAGTTTCTCAGAGCATACCTGGGGCCTGCAGCCACTGTCCATGGAAGACAGCCGGAATGAAGAGTTCAACCTGTTGACACAGTTGACACGGTTGACTCTTAAGCCCACAATGTGAACACAAGACACAAAACCGACGCAAAACCCAGATCAATCAGCAATCAATCAGCAATCAATCAGCAATCGGCCCACTTTGGGGGATGTCATCCAGTGATTGATCTGAGGGCTTCACCAAAGATACCGTGAGCATCACCTGGCTCGAAAGATCTCGAAAGAGATGTGCCTAGTCACAGCCAACAGATGGGACAAGCCGGCAGAACACCAGCTGCCAGCGCCAACGCAAAAGCCTTAGCTATGAGATCACATTGACCTTGAGAAACTTGAGGCCGGGGGTGGATGACGAAAGCTAGCGGGGTAGGAGAAAGAAGGAAGAGAAGAGGTGAGTTGCGGAGGGACTGTCATCATCGTGTCGCGGCATTGTTCGTCCCAACGAGGATGCAACAATGATATATGATATATAACAATGATATATAATATATGGGGGAGGGGGCAGGGGGGCCCTTTCGCGTGAAAAAGCACGTGATGTCCTTGGGGAGCCCCGGAATACTTGCTAAAGCAAGAAGACTCTAGCGAGCTGACGCTAGCTTTCGTGATAATGCCAATAATTGCCAATAATGATAAAATGTAATTGAATAACGATGATGATGATGATGATGATGAATGATGAATGATGAATGATGAATGATGAATGATGAATGATGAATGATGATGATGATGATGATGATGATGATGATGATGACGAGGACGCGGACGAGGACGAGGACGATGGAGAGGACGATGACGATGATGATGACGATGATGATGACGATGATGATGACGATGATGATGACGATGACGATGATGATGATGATGATGATGATGATGACGAGGACGCGGACGAGGACGAGGACGATGGAGAGGACGATGACGATGATGATGACGATGATGATGACGATGATGATGACGATGATGATAGATAGATAGATAGATAGATAGATAGATAGATAGATAGATAGATAGATAGATAGATAGATAGATAGATAGATAGATAGATAGATAGATAGATATAAAGATAGATAGATAGATAGATAGATAGATAGATAGATAGATAGCTAGCTAGCTAGCTAGCTAGATAGGTAGACAGGTAGATAGGTAGATAGGTAGATAGGTAGATAGGTAGATAGGTAGATAGATAGATAGATAGATCGATCGATCGATCGATCAATAGATAGATCGATAGATAGATCGATAGATAGACAGATACATAGTTAGATACATAGTTAGATAGACAGATGAGATAGACAGATGAGAAAGACAGATGAGATAGATGAGATAAATGAGATAGATAAAAAAGGTGAGATAGATGAGAAAACAATAAATCCGCCCACACCGCTTTGGCGGTGAAGGCGTGCTTATTGGGGGGAAACAGCTACACTAAATGCTCAATCACATTTGTTAATATAGCAATCGCTATATCAGCTTTAGCTGGGGGGGGGCAAAAACGATTTCGCACCGAGACCAGAATTCGGTGGTGCTTTCGACATTTTTCGAGGATTTTTGGGTGTCTGAGCGCAAGAGGGTATTGAAATGGAATTTTGGGTCATTTTGGTAGCTTTCCGGCAATGGAAAAACGGCCAAAAATGAAAAAAACATTGTACATAGCAAGATTTTGCAGGGTTTTTGGATGCCAGAGCATTGAAAACACTGCAAAAACAAGTGTTTTGGACTGACGTTATAGCAAAAAAACGTGTAAATTACCGTATGCTTGACTGGAAACATTACAAAAACACTGTCAAAAGCAATGTTTTGGAAGGATTTACTGCCTTTATGGCAAAAAAACGTGTAAATTACCGTCTGTTTGACTGGAAACATTGGAAAAACACTGTCAAAAACAATGTTTTGGAAGGATTTCTTATATATGTTGGAGTTGGCTACCGGCATTGGCACATGGAAAAATTGAAGAAAACACTGTAAATAGCGGTATTTTCAACGGTTGGGGAGATAAGGGAATTGGAAGCATTGTCGAACATGATGTTTTCGACCGGTTTTATGGCGACAAAAATGTAAAGTACCGTGCTTTGAAGGAAACCATTGCAAAAACATGGAAACACATTCAAAGAACACGGGATTTGGTGGACTATCTAGGCGTCGTTGTCTAGCTATTTGAAATTCCGCAGCTTGGAGAGCCTCCAAGGGAGGGAAAAGTGAAAATTCCATAGCTTGGGAAGCTGTCACGGCGGGGAAAAGTGAAAATTCCCTAGCTTGGGAAGCCCCCACGGGGGGGAAAAGTGAAAATTCCCTAGCTTGGGGAGCCTCCACGGGGGGGAAAAGTGAAAATTCCCTAGCTTGGGGAGCCCCCACGGGGGGGAAAAGTGAAAATTCCCTAGCTTGGGGAGCCCCCACGGGGGGGAAAAGTGAAAATTCCCTAGCTTGGGGAGCCCCCACGGGGGGGGAAAGTGAAAATTCCCTAGCTTGGGGAGCCCCCACGGGGGGGAAAAGTGAAAATTCCCTAGCTTGGGGAGCCCCCACGGGGGGGGAAGTTAAAATTCTTAGCTTGGGGAGCCCCCACGGGGGAAAACCACCCTTAGCCCCTCTCACGGACCTAAATAAACCTGCGGTGTGGGCGGCCACCCCACGCGAAGCGGGGTGAATATTCAAAAAATGTCAAGAATTTCTGAGAAAAAAACAGCCTCTCCAAGCTCCCAGCTAAAGACCGCAGAATGGCAGTGCCTTTATTCTGCTCTGCAGTCGCGACCTCAAAGGACAGTAGCTGCAGTTGGTAATTTGCAGCTGCAGGACGGCATCCGAGTCTCTGGCGACAAGGTGCGTCTCACGCAGGGGCTTGATACCTTGAAACTGCCAGCTTAACCACTTTCTGATGGTTTTTAAAAGATACGGCTTCTGGTACGGTATGTATGAAAACCATAAATAAAGCATAATAAAGCTCATAAATTGATGTTCATCCACCTAAAAATGGAAACATGGCTTTTAAATGTTTAAACCATCTCCATACCTTTGACCTTTGCTAGGGGAGTTCGTGCAAGATTCTTAGGCCCCATACCTGCCCCCCACTCCACATGAGCAGGGAGAGGCATCTTGTGGAGGACGTTAACATCTCGGGCAGCAGCAAGAATCTTGTGAAGAAGGGCTGGATGGGTCTAAATGGGTCTGTGAAAATGGAGGATACCCCAAATGGCAATTTTCACGGACAAGATGATGATAAACCATGAAATTTCTTGAAAATTGGGGCAATTACCGGCAATTACCTGATTTTCAGACAGACCAAAACAGATCTAAGAACAGAAAAAATCTACCAGATCCACCTGTTGGTGCAGCCGGAAAAGCAGGTAAGTCAGGCACCTGCCATCCCCGATACAAGTGTCTCTGGAGTTTGATGGAACAAAGAACAGCGTCCAAATGTCCAACGATGCCAGATTGGCGGCTCTCACTTCATCGTGGAGCAGCAACACAAATGCGTAGACCTCAATAATCAGGAAAAAACTGGTGAGAGCAAGAAACGACTTTGGAAAGAGAGCAAGCTGTCCTTTCCATCAAACAGTGATCTTTCTCTGTGACTTGCATGAAGTGGCTCAGAGTCCCCAATCTCCTCCCATTCTAGTTTGAGGTAGCCACCAAATATAGAGGCATTGTTACATACGTGCGGACCTCAGAAGCGTCAGCTCAAGTCTAGTACACGTGATCTTCCACCATTGCAGTACAATCCTGTGGTCAGGTGGAAATATGGATGTACTTATCATGAATTCCAATCTCAGGTCCAAGCCACACTGGTTGCCACCCATTAAGAGCAATGGAAAAGTAGTTGGAGGCTCATGTTGTTCAATGGCAAACACACATAATTCACATAATATACCTTTGTGTATTTAAAGGATTGCGAGTGTGGGTTGTGCCTGATGACCTATGACTCATGTTTAGATAGCAGAAAGCCACAATGTCTTAACCAGCGAGCGTTCCAATTTCTAGAAGCTGAACCAGTTTAAGTCGTAGTAACGAGAAACTGCTTCCTTCAAGTTGTCCAGCGAGTTTTTCAATTTCTAGAAGCTTTCATGTTTCCTCACTGGAAAAGCGTCTCGAGCCGAACCAGTTGCAGTCCCAACGAGAAACCGTTTCCTTCAAGTTCATCCATTGAGTTCACGCAGACGTCACGAACCGCCAATGCACTCCATGGCACAATCTCTGCTTCATACGTTTTCATCCTGCGTAGCGTTGGCGAGGAGCTGGAGGAGTGAAGCCGGTTTTTTTCACCTGAGTTTCACAATCCAGGAAATGCACTCAGCCAGATGAGCCAGCCCAACCAACGCGGAAAAATAAACAAAGAAACACGTCTGCCACTGCCGTCTGACAAAAAAAAACATCTTTGCCAATCTAGCTCCAAGTACCTTGACCGCACCCCTCTTTCCAAGTTTGTGTACAACAGTGGGCTTCTGCTCACGAAAGCTTCTGCGATCCTCTTGCAAGTTAGGTCGACCAGGTGCGCCCTGGTGTCCATAAAGACTCGATTGTCTTCTGGGCCGTGCCTCATCCATCTGTTCCTGTGAGGGAAGTTTCATCATTCGACTTTGATGTCGATCAAACCAGAGATTCCCATGGCCCTCGCGTTGCAAATGTGCAAAACTTTGGCAAGGACTCACTGACTTCACCTGGCAGTCAGCCACATCCCCGGGCTTCAAATCTACAAACTCCTTCAAATCTTCGTCTTCAAGGACAGCCCCTGTTACAGAGTGGTTCAGCTTGAAATATGCAGCACCTGGTTTTTTGGACACTAGCATTGCTTTCACTTTTACACCACTTCTGAGAGAAGCAGTTTCTGAAGGAAGCTCTTTGCTATTCATATTGGCGTATTCCAGATAGTGCATACTTCTCCTTTGTATCAGAGTTCCAGAGGGGTCTCCAAGCTCTTTGTTCAGAGTGGATTGCAGAGGGAGCAAGTGTGCCACGTTTTGAACGGCTTTGCGAATGACTTGAGGTTGTAGGGGTCGCTCGTGCCACTTTGGTGAAGGAATTTCACTCCGCTCCAGCCGATCCCAACGATGCAATCTATATGCACTCAAGGAGAAGGTCCGCATGATCTCAGCCAACCCTGCTTGGTATATCTCCAAGCCTTCTCTTTCCAACCATGCAGTGAAAGCTACCTGCAGGTCATACACAGAATAGATGGGGATGTGATATTGATTCAGCAAAAGCGATGCCGCTTCTCGGCAGTCATGAAACACCTTCACCAAGCCCACGTTCATAAGAACGGGCTTCAAAGGCTGGACGATGTCTTCCCCACCCATCTCAACGTCAATCAAAAACATCTCATCCTTTGTCGCAAGTTGAACCAATGCGAGTTTGCCAAAGCGCCCCATCTTCTCCCCACCACAATCCACCGCAATACTGTGCTGGTCGGATTCCAGGATTCTCTGTGCCAGCGCGTGGGTCTGCGTCGCAGTGCTAAGCAAGCGCACTGGCAGTCTTCGAACCATGTCTTCCTCCCAAAAGGCAAGAAAAGACCGGAAAAAATGCAGCACTGCAATACGAGGGTAGAATCAAACATGATAGAAGTACAGTACATGCTTGGTAATCGAACACCTGACTGTGGCCTGCCTGCCCAGCTTGTGTATACTTGAATCCTGAACAAGCAAAAGTCGTTCTTCCACATGTCATCTGGGGAAACCTGAAACCTCACCTTCTCGGCATATCATCGAGCAACCGCATCCCAGCTTGCCTCATTTGCCTCCACATCTGGCTCCACTCTCTGCGAATCAGCTGCAGATGCTGCAGATGCTGCAGATGGCGACCCATCTGATCGAACCAGCCATTCCTCCACGGTCTTCTTGTACGAAGCCGGCCACTCGGAACGTGTGGTCTTCCCGGATCGCCTCGTGATTTGTGGGGTTCTGGAGCTATGGCTTTGTCATGCTTTGTCTGGGGCAATCTGAATGGAGATTATGGAGATTTCATAAGATTTCGATCGTGTTCCATCATTTTTGAAATGGCCCTGAATCCCGCTGAAAGATTCTCCATCATTTCATGATTTCCCCATGATCATGGCCCGTTTAATTTTGGGATATCCTGATATCCCCTACCTTTGGACTTCCACTGAGGCTCCGGCCAACGCCGCTGGAAGCCCAGCGATGCTCTGCGCCACATTCAAGGACAGCTCTGGCATGTGTGACAAGAATGTGACAAGCGTGTCAGATGTTTGAAAAATAAGGCATGTAAATTACAAGATTTACAAGATTTTACAAGTAATAATATCAAGTAATTATCTAGGTTATTCTAGGTTGCATTCCCAGAATCTCCTCATTTTCCAAGGAGTAAAAGATCCCAGAATCTCTCAGAGTTTTTCTTCCAAACATCCAGGTCATTCCAGGTCTAACCCTTGCCCAATGCAAATGTTTTAAGCAGAAATGCAGGATGCTCTATGCGGGCGTTGCTTTGATGCTGCTTGTAGATCTTGTAGCTTAAGGCTTGAATGATCCAGTCAATCGATCAAGTTTTGCAAATCTGCTGGGTATGGCTTAGCCAAACCATGTTGACACCCAAACTCCAACAGCCGTTGAGCTGCTTTTTTGCCTTTGACTTGCACAAGCACCAGCACGGGTGTGCAGTCACCAAGACATAAGGTTGTTCAAGTACCTGTCCACCGATTACAAAGAATTTCTGCAGACAGCTATTTGAGCTGAGCCAGTCCAAGAATTTTGAACCGGCCAAGCTCCATCCGGCGAAGTCAAGCTGCCATGCAGGGCAGGCTTTACAGCACTGCAAGCTTGAAGTCCTCGACCAAAATGCGACTGAGGCCCAACTGCTTCGCTTCCGCCTGTTCTCAGCGGAGGGGTAACACCCGCCACAGAAACTTAGATCATGTTCTTGCATCTTGCTGCATCTTGCTCTATGATCCACTGAAAAATAATGTGAAAGTACCTGCACAAACTCGCGCCTCAAGCCACTCCGCCACTGGTACCACCTTTTTCTCAGATGACACCTTCAAAGCATCAGACTTCAAAGCTCATCCCCCTCGAAGCTGCGAAACTTATGCGACACTGCTACACTTCATTGCAAATGTGGGAGAGAAAGGGGTGTATTGCCCGGGAAATATATGAAAAATGACAGTGCTTCCGCGTATTACGCATGTGCTGGGCCAGGATGTGGCAACGTTAATGTTGCAGTTGTCAAGCAAAGTCTTTGGCCTGCGGACTCACAAGCTCTTGACCTTGAGCGTCCATGGAAAAGTGAGCAAACCATACATTGAAACTTTATAAACTATAGAATGAATGGCAAATATGGCAACGAACAAGGGTATGGAATCCACTGCAGCCATCAGCCCATTTTTCAAGTTGTTGGAGGCATGACTGACACGCCAAATTGAGGCACCACACATGCCAAGACCTAGGCTACTTCAAAGTTAAATCCAGGTGCTCCATTCACACGGGAAGGCTGGAGTGACAAGAGGAGGTTGGGTTTTGACGCCGGGGTTTTCTTTACAAGCCGTTCCAGACCAGACAGTTTATTTAAAAAATATAATACAATCGAAAATCAATGAAATCATCGAAATCTCAAAGCTCATCTCTGGGGACGCTGCGTATTCCTGGTAAAACTTATTGGTCTTGCCATCCAGGACCTTTTTCAGAACCTGCCCAAAGGGATCTCTAAGGTCCGACTGGAAAGTCATGGAAATCAAACTCCACCCGCTACACCCGCTACACCCGCTCCTCGCCTCCTCCGTGATGGTGCCAGCCATCCTCGGGCCGATCTGCTCGAAATGGGCAGCCTTGAAGACCTCACGCTCTTTCCGCAAGGTCTCCGCCTCACATGAGCTTGTCATCCGCCTTTATCCTGGATTATCTTTCCTTTGCCGGGGTATTCCATGGATGTGTGAGAAATCTCTCTTTATGATCTGGGAATTTAGCATCATATTCTTGTCACAACATACTCAGTTCTGTGCCGGAATGCTATCAACGCTGACGAACCGCGGCTGCGCAGCGACAATGTGTCTTGCCTCGGGCTCTCTGGAACAAATTTGGATGTTGGAGCCCCTGCATGAATCTTCCTATGTGCAGAAAAATACCCAAATCTTCAGCATCTGAACTTTGTGTAAACTCATGAGCAGTCCAAATCCGTCCCCAAAGACACTTCTGAATCTGTGCATCTGAGACTCAGACTAAACGGCTGGCAGTTGTGTGGAAGGCATCTGGTGAGCTGCCCAAACTCAGAGTCACACTTCGATTCAAACTATCCACGATGGGTTCGATCAATCTCCAACTTGGCATCAAACCCGTCAGGTGATCTCAAAGAGACTAAGCCAGCCATTCGCCCAGTGCCCTGCATGCTATCAACCTTGGATAGCGATGCTGATGTGCTTCAAGTCCTATTTTGACTATATTTTAAGAAAATCAGGAGAGTAGACCAAACTGGAGCAAACTAGACCAAACTAGACCAACAACTTTGCTTGTCCAGGGGCCGATTTTGGATGCACATAGCCAGCTACAATGCCACCGGGCGGTGGAGACAGAATGTGTACCTGCAGGCGCAGCCAGGCCACCCCTGACAGGTTGAGACTGGACTGAGCGGGGCACGTTTCCAAGAACAAGTTTCTCTCCCAGGACCTTGCAAAGTTGTTGAGCGCAAAGAATGACTCATGAAATTTAGTATGTCTTGGAAAACACCTTGAAACTGAAGGTTCACAAGTCACCTGTGTAGAGGGTAAGGGTTGTAGAACTTCTCATAGTAAATCAAGGCTCGAAGCTCAAGGCCAAGCAAATGCACACAGAAGTGATTTGGCTCATTTCATGTTGGTGCCCAATACATAAATCGTCATTCAACCTTTCGTTGGTTCCCGGCGCAAGGGACATGTCACATGCTTACTCCGACAGTTTTTCTGACTCTGTAGGCAGAGTCAGAAAAGTTTTCGGTCAGAAAAACTTTCGGAGTAAGTGTGCCAACAAGGCTCGCAAGAGCAGGCGTGCTTGCACAGACAGAAAGCGATGCTGACTTTGGAAGACTTGCAAATGAACGATTGAGACAGGGTCTTAAAATATTTCGCTGCCTGCTGGGATTCTTTCAGCAATTGTTCCAATCTTCCAGCCCTGATCTCTAACATCTGTTGCCATATGCCGCTGGATTCATAGTCTCGCTGGCGAAATGTGGCTGCAAAAGTATTATTGCAGCTCAAGGACTTGAAAAGTTGTCGCCCTTCCTCCAAGGAATTGATCATCTTCTTGCAACGGAACGATTCCTCCTTCGATAAATCAAATGAAGGGCTGCCAAGTAGAATGGTGAAGCCCTCATGTTCCGGGCACACGCCGCAGAAACTGCACTTTGGCCTTGGTCTGTTCTTTGGTGATGAAGGAACCCAGCCGATGGTGACTGGCAGTGTCCAGAACACGATTGCAGAAGCAGGAAGGATAGTATAGCAGACGTGCTTCGATCATCTTGCAGCTCCACCCCCTTTCATCTTGGCTGTGGCTCAGTGATGATCGTCACAATTGCGATCCCAGAAGGATGGTTTTAGAGAGAGGGAACGATATGGACATCAGTGATTTAGTGAAAGATGACTGTCGTGGCACTGGAATCACTGGAATGGATGGTTTCATGGACCAGAAGTCCACCTACTCAAGTTCAACGTCAAGAAACTAAAATGTGAAGAGATGTGAAAGAAGGCGAAAAAGGTTGAAAGCCTACTCTCATTGCCCAAAAAGAAAGTCAAACATGATGCTGAATACATTCTGTAAGGACAGCTTTGAAATGTGTCGTGCAATCCTAGGGGACTTAGGGGACTATGTGACGTGAACGTTTTTATTGCGTCTGCTTCCATGACCACGCTGAATGCTTGAGGGAAAGTTCGGGGAGGCTACTACTACCAGACTGCCAGCGGGGAAATCTGTTCTCCCAACAGTTTAAGAGCATAAGAGCTGCTCGTCCGAATCTGTTGTGCTTTTGACATTGCATGATTTGACTGTATTTTGGGCATATTGCTACCCGTATCTTGCCCCACTAAGCCAATATTTTGCCCCCCAATCAGCAGCATCCAGCGCTTGGAGCTGGGTTCCAGACACTTCCCAGCTCCAGGAGCGCCTCTGACAGAGTTGCACCTGTTCGCAGCTGCCTCAGGTTTTAACGACCAAATCCAGACCCATGCCCGTCGTGTGCCGAACTTCCATGCCAAGAATGAGACGGCGGTCTGTTTGGACCATCCCGGATCTGCATGTTCATAGCAGCCTGGAAAACGATACAAAACCGACAAAACCCATCTTCCACTGCACGGCACTGTACGGCACTCTGTACGGCATGTCTCGATGTGTCAAGCAGTTTTGCACCGCTTTGGCACCCCACCTCGATTCCGGCTGCTGCATCATCCGGTGCTGCCGCTATCATTTGTGCTAAATGTCGCAATGTCCTTGGCTCTCCAAAGAACAAACAGCACCAACACAAAGGCCGGCTCCGGCCGCAGCCAAACAAAAACAATGAAACAGTAGTCGTAGCACCTCATAGCGAGCTCCACATGCGTATGAATCAAAACCCTGGTACCCTGGTACCCTATCACAAGAAATGTCTTTAAATATGGTAAAATCAACTGGATTGGGACACGATTCCATCCAATTTGGGGATGCCTACATTGACCCGTAGCTCCATAATGTCTGCGCTTCAGGGGATCTTCAGCTAAAACTCTTTGCCGGGCCACTGCTGAAACAGCTCACTCCGTGTGACGAAGTCTGTCTCGGCCTCTGCGGCTCAAGTCAATGAGAAGTCATTTTTCGCACTGTAAGCGACCTTTTTTCTGCAAGAGACCAGAAATCTGTAGTCTGTCTGGTATATTAATCCATGTGTATTCATATGTACAATACATGGAATACAATATGATGCAAAGATGTTACACTTTCCTGGTCATCTCACCCAACTTTTGCCAGCTTGTTCTGCGATGAGATCTTAGACCATGGCCCGCAGCTCTACAATTGTGCCAGCTCGATCTAGGCCCAAAGAAAGCAAAGCCTGGCAAGTAAATCGTTGCAAACATTGCGTTGCTGATTTAGGATATTTTCTCCAAGAAAAGGGTTACATGAAGGAAAAAACAATGTTCAACAAAGTTTATGAAGCTCGTCTGGATGACTTCAGCTGACTCGGCAGATCGTTTCTCCATGGAACGAACGCCCCTCTTCTTCAGCCAGTCCACTGCCTATCAAAACTGTTCTAGGGCAAGAAAAAAGTGTCAAATGAAAAAATACGTGACCAGTGCTGTGCGCCAGTAAGAACCCTCCTTCTCCAAGTCTCCGTTCTCTTCCTTCAGAGCTTCCCGGCACCTTTGCAAAAGCCGGTGGTCGAGCACAGTTTCTGTGGAGTGAACATGCTCCAGACTTGCCATGCGGAAAAGCTGCAACTGCATCTCAGCACCAGTTGAAAATAGGTCTGAGTGCCTGACTTGCCTGGCCAAAGGGTTAAAACAAGACAAGGAATCTCATATGAAGAGATTAGCCAAGGTGAAATTAGAATCAAGTTGGCACAAGCGAGTCTGAGTGGACCCATGGAAGCACCAGTCTTTTCTCTCAACTCCTAACAAGCGAGCAATGCCTGTGCATGGACATGCATTTTTCATGCCGACTTTCATAGTGCAACACTCCACCAAATGCAGAGTAAAATCCCACTCCTTCACCTGCGCGGCAGAAATTGCGCTAAACCTTCGCGACCAATCGAGCACCTACAGAAGATCAACTTCACAAGGCATGGAATTCACAAAATGGATCAAAATGGTCCTTCTGCCAACATTCACAAAGCATCGACCCGACTGAATCTATGCACCTTGGCATTCTCAGCCCAAGCGCTCGCTTTATGCCTGTCCATGATGGGCACTTGCAGAGTTGTGACCAGACTGGGTGCGCAGAAACTGATCTGCGAGGACTTGGGGTGCTGAGATACCTCCATGTCTAGCGAAAGATTCCTAGCGTTTGACAAAAGAGGTCTGGGAAAAGATGTTCATCAGCTATCCACGCCTCTGTAGAGGCAGTCGTGCTAGCCTGCTAAGCTGACCTGTATCCAAATGTCAACAACGTGAAGTCACAAAGTGACTCAACTGACTCAAGTTAATTTTATTTGGGAACTGGCAGACCAAGCATCTTTTTAGGAAATGATGGTTTCAAACCCTGGACAATATAGGTTCAAAAAACAATCACAACCCTGAGGCTCTCGCGCATGGTGTCGATCTCAAACCTGGACATGCCAAAGCCCATTGGAGGCAAACCAGCAGCACAGCAGCACCCAAACAACTACATAGCAAAATGAAACGACCCTTCAAACACGCTAGTCAAACCAGCTCCATTGCGCGTCTGTTTCGGATTCAGAACAAACAGCCTTTTCAGGACTGTATCTATATATTATTTAGTTATTTATTTATTCATTTATTTATTTATTTATTTGTTTGTTTGTTTATCTATTCGTTTATTTATTTATTTAATTATTTATTTATTTAACTATTTGTTTATTTATTCACTATTATTATTATCATTATCATTATCATTAGTAGTAGTAGTAATAATAGTAGTATTGTATTGTATTGGATTGTATATTGTATATTGTATAATATTGTGTATTGTGTATTGTGTATTGTGTATTGTGTATTGTGTATTGTGTATTGTATTGTATGTATATATATATACAGATGCAAATATATATATATATATTACTTTACAATAAATACGTGATTTTATTGAATGTCATCCTGCCCGGTGTAATTACACATGTTCCATCAAGCCAACCACTGCGCTGATGTCCAGACCACAATACACCGCCTTGATGAGCCCGGGGCTCAAAATCGAGGGATTCGACTGATAAACAAAGCGGCAAAAGCAGCGGGCGGATGTTTGCTGACTGGTTGAGTGCTCATTCGGCAAAACATGATACGTCGATGTGCAATCATTGTATCGGCATGTATCGGCAATTTTTATAAAGAAGTGCTCTGCAAGAACACAGTCAGCATGAAGATCTTGCTCTGTCTCTGTGCAGCTTCAGCTTCACATTTTCGACCATCGGGACAGGCAGCTGCTTCAGCAAGTCTCCGAGTCGAAGTTGACGTCGAGGACCAGCCCCAACGCATTGAGATCCAAGTCCTGGGACTCAACCCAAGCCATGCGCAGCAAACCAGGGATGAAGTATGACCAGATATGATCAGATATGACCAGATATGACCAGATATGACCAGATATGACCAGATATGACCAGTATGAGCAGTTACGAGCACATGCAAGGCTGTGGCGGCTGTGGCTGCATGTCCAACCAACTGTCTAAAGAAAAGAACAGAACATGCAAATGCGCTGCAATACTGCAGCCACATGTAGCCACGCAGTACAGGGATGGGTGCATGCTGTGCTCACCTGTGCGCCACAGTCCTCCATGTCTGCGCCCTAGATGTTGCCCTCTTTGATCTCGGCCTCAACACATTGGCTGATCCAGTTGAGTCGTTACAACGTGTCGAGTTGGACCAAAATCAGACTTAACGCAACTTCGATTGAAACAAATTGGGGGTGAAGTGCTGCCACAACCTGTGGGGTCCTGATATGTCCTGATTTCATGCACCTGTCGCTGCCCATCAGAAAGCAGTCAAAGCACCCAAAGAAACGAAGACAGCCACTAATCACTCAAATGAAGTCTGCAACCGGGAGTACAGCAGTCAGTTTCACCGAAGCACTTTCGCTATCTACTTCTTTTGCCGAGCAAGTTCCCTTCCTCTTTGCTCAGCTTTGTCCTCCTCCGACCTTGTCACAACAATTTTAACTCAAAGCATTCATCTGGCTCCACTTGGACAGTGACACATCTAAGCTTGGGTTTGGACATGCCCTTGTTCTTCCCTTTGCCACCCTTCTTGCCTTTTCCTTTTCCCTGCAAAGTGGCGACAAAGACTCACTACCTCCTACTGTCTCATGCTGTCTTGTCTCTCTACCCACCTTGCCCTTTCCAGGACTTCTCCTCACAAAGTTTTTCCCGGTCTTCGAGACCGTTTGTGCATTGAACACTTCCTTGGGTTGCATCACAGCACACCATCCCAATGATTGTGGGACGGTGGCTTCTGAGTCACAGCAACGTTCCATAACAAATCCGAGGCTCGTCGCACACCAAGCATGCCTGTCACAACAACCAGGATGGCGACATTTTAACATTTACAACTCACTAAACTAAAGCCGAAGCTTTATCATATCTCCCACAAACTCTTTGAAACCAACTACACAGTCTTCAGTGCGCATAGACAGAGATACAAACGTATGTTCTGTGTGTGTGCGTGTAGGTCTTTCCGCGGGCAAGCGAGAAAAGTGCGACGCAGAAGCAGAAATATCTTCTCGCTATCAGGATTGCATTGGTGCGAGCTAGACTTCAGCAAAGCAACAGTTTCAATCTGCAGTGATCTAACAATGCTGAACCCTCATAGAAAAAACATCACGCAAAGCAGTTGTGGCCACGAGCATGAAATTGCACGAAGCATGATCATGAAAGATTTGGGCTGCTTCGCCTTTCGCTCTGTGGCCCCGTCTGGGAGGGGCGACTTGCCCTTGTTGAAGACAACGTCCAACAAAACCGAGGAGCACCTTGGATTTTTGACTTGGCACGTCAGGCACGTGTAGTAAGTTCTCGAGACTTCTAGAGTACATAGACGAGCGACTCATCGCAGAAATCAGTGGTAGCTTTGATCTTGTGTGCCTGCTCGACTGAAGCAAAGAACGTGTATGAAAAGTATGAAAAAGTCCTTGATCCCCGAATCAATGAGAACTTGTTCCGAACAGATTCTCGAGCCTTATCCTCAAAAATGGAGAGCTGTTGCAAGCCTCGGCACCGTAAGATCGTGCAAATATCATGCTGATGAACCAGTCAAACTGTTCATGCTAATGGCCCAATAACCTGAGGATATGACAAATGTTGCAATCGATCTGCCATTTTGGCCCCGAATCAACGTCCAAGCAAAGCGTGCCCGGACAGTTGTCAGCAATGCATGACATCACCTCATTGACTCTGCTTATAGAAGCTTAAAACATCTGAAAGCAGTGATAGTGATAGCATTCATTGACACTGTATCAAATGCAGCCAAACAGCTGCTGGGCGGTACTTCTTGTAAATGGGATGATCCAAGTTCCAGTGCTTTCCTTGCCTTGGAGCTTTCAGAGTAAATCATGAATCTACCAGAGCAACGTGCAAGAGCTTAGCTGTCGCTTGGTCGCTCTTCTCTGGCACCGAATGGTGGATCATCATAGCACATGGGGCAGATCGGATAGCTTTTGCCAACCTGGCACAGCAAACCAATTGATTTCGTTCAATTTCAAGAAAAAGCCGTTTGAACAAAGTTTGAACGAAATCAACTAACCATAGCCGCCATAGCCACTTACAGATTGGAGATGAATACTTTGATTCTGATTGATTCTGCGCCAGCCTTGTTTGAGACGAACACTAGCCTGGGACGGCGAGCAAGGACTTTGCAACTTTGCTATGTCCACCCACAACACACAAGGCAAATGGCAACAAACAAACCGACATGATGTTCAAGATGTGCTTTTCCATTTCCCCTTGTTTAGACTCACGAGGTCCCTGTCGCATCTTTGACAATAATTTTAATTTCAGACGAGAAGCTCAAAGTTATCCAAGGGGCATTTGAGCTCTTTGTATAGTTTCATCTGTCCGTTTTGTGGCATCTTGAAGATGCGGTTGCACCTTGGAAACCAGAAAGCAGAAAGACAGCTGAAGCACTCATCCAACGAGCAGTAGAACCGTAGGGTTTTTACCAAGTTGCGTCTTGCAAAACATTCGCACTGGCTTTCGATCAACCACTGACAGATACCTGGCACGCAACAGAAGGTGAAGCTGCTTGGTGCATGCCTCCAAGCCAAACCGCCAAACCTTTCTCCTGCCTCTGACAGTCTCCACATCTTGAAAGTGGTCTTCCGGCTGCCTGCCGAGGCAGCTAAAAGCATTGAATCCAGGCACGTACCGGTTTGATCAGTTCGATCAGTTTGATCTGCCTCCAAGGACTTGAAGATGGTTTCAAAGAGCTGGTCAACCAAGTCCACGTTTTTGACCTGAGAGGTCAACGACAAACAGAATCGACTACAATCTGCAGTGGGAATGCAACGTACTGTACTGCTCAGAAGGGATGTGTTTTGCTGCCAAGATTCATAGTAGATGAACTTCTCCCGGAACAAACGTAGGCAATGCTGCACAACTGGTAGGATTTCAGCCTTTCCTTCAGCCACAAGTGTGCAGTTGTATTCCATGTTTGCTCGAACTTTCGGAATCACCAGCTCGTTGTCGACCATCTGATATCCGTGAACCAGGGCAATGCCCAACTGTGTTGGAATCAGGCGTCGGCCTTCTGCAAGTTTCACATAGTTTCGCTCACAAATGTTGTTAATATGGGTTGCCATGGAGGCATCCGTGCCGATCCCATGTTTCTCCATCAGAGACAGCAAATCAGATTCGGACAAGTAAGGAGGAGCCCGAGTTTTATGGCTGCCCATTGACACCTTTTTGATTTCAACTGTCTCACCTTTGGCAAAGTCAGGGATCACCACATCTTCCATCTCACCACTGCGTTGAATGGCAGTGAAACCCGGGTCAATGACTTTGCGGCCAGAAATCGAGAAACCTTCATGATTGATGTCAAAGTGGACTCGCGTGCGCATGAACTTGCAATCTCCGCTGACAGTTGCCAAAAAATGTCGAGTGATCATGTCCTGGCGAAGGAAACCAGCTGTGGGCCACTTATGTTGGAGTGGGATTGGTGAATGGATGGACCATATAAAGGATCAAACATCTTTGTAGAGAATGATTTGAGTCGAATGGTTTTGAAAATGGTCACCACCGAAGATTGCTTCTCGACGGTCCGGTCCGGTTCTCGAGACATTCTGGGTGGAGCCCATGGGGGGCTGTAGGTGCTCACAAAAGAATGTACAAGTACAAAGCAAAATTGAGATTTAAAGCAAATATCCATAAAATTCCATAAATATCCCGGTAAAGGTTGTTTGACGTCTCTGCCCGGCCAAGGATCATACAACCGATAAGCGTCGCCAAGCTGTCCCTCCGTTGCTGCCCGAACAGGGGTGATTGGAGGGTGATCTCCCATATCCACGCCTGTGGGATGGCCAGGCATCTCGAATTTACAGATGCAAGGGTAATCCAATACCAGCAGTGCCGCGCACGGCGGTGGCGGAAGTTTCAGAAATAGGAAACCTATATAGGAGAGGTTGTTTGTTGTGAATCACGGATGGCAGAGCGAATCCACTGATGTACCGAAAGGTGGTCGGAGTTGTGTTTTTTGGGATGGTTGCAATGGTTGCAGTCGTCACCTGGTCGGTCACCTCACCCACAACTGCTGGATGTAGTGTAGTGTAGTGCAGCTGTAGTTGTAGCTGTAGTGTAGTGCAGTTGTAGTTGTGGTGTAGTGTAATTAGTGTAGTGCAGTTGCAGTTGCATTTGTGTAATGTAATGTAGGGTAGTGTAGTGCACTGTAGTCTAGTGTAGTGTAGTGTAGTGTAGTGTAAAGTAGCGTAGTTGTAGCTGTAGCTGTGGTTAGTGTAGTGTAGTAAAGTAAAGTAAAGAAAAGTAAAGAAAAGTAAAGTGTAGTGTAGTGTAGTAAAGTAAAGTAAAGTAAAGTAAAGTAAAGTAAAGTGTAGCGTAGCGTAGTGTAGTGTATTGTAGTGTAGTGTAGTGTGGTGCGGTGTGGTGTGGTGTGGTCTGGTGCAGTGTGGTGTAGCGTAGTGTAGTGTAATGTAATTAATTAGCGTATATTAGTGTAGTGTAATGTAGTTGCAGTTGTAGTTGTATTTAATTTGTAGTTGTACTTGTAGTTGCAGTTGTAGTTGTCGCTGTAGTTGTAGTGTAGTGTAGCGTAGTGCAATTGATAGCGTATTGTAGTTGTAGTTGTAGTTGTAGTTGGGGTGGAGTGGAGTGTAGTGTAGTGTGGTGGTGGTTGTAGCTGAAACTGCTACAAAACCCACACGTTTTGCTCACTTTTGGCAAAGTGCAGAACTCCTTGCACCTGCCACGCAAAACGACATCTGAACGTCCAAAAGTGTTCCGTGCCCCTCAGTTTTCTACACTTTTGACTTGGAAATGTGCTTTGCGCCACAACGGCGTCCACTTTTTAGACATGTCAACTTCCAAAAATGGTCCGCGCATGGTGTGCTTTGCACGTTTTGACTTGGAAATGTGCTCTGCGCCACAACGGCGTGCACTTTTTTGACATCACAACTTCCAAAAGTGGTCCGACGTTGGTGTGCTTTGTGCATTTTGACTTGGACATGTGCTTCGCGGCACAACGGCGTGCACTTTTTCGACATCTCAACTTCCAAAAGTGCTCCAAACGTGAGGTGTTTTTAACTTTTTTCACTTGCAAATGTGCTTCGCGCCACAGCAGCGTGCAACTTTTCATCTCTTATCTGACCACATGGCTCTGCACCCACTGCTTTAGCGAGCCTACTTTTCGACCCTCCGGAGCCACAAATCATTGGAAAAGCACAGTGTTTCTCTACTTTGCTACCTTTTCGCGCACCTGCATCTTCTTTCCTCTGACTCTTTCTCTTCTCTGATCTTCTCTCTTCTGCTCTTCTCTTCTCTGACTCTTCCCACCTCTGCTTTTTCATCTGTCCATATTGTCGGAAGTTTGACTTCTAAACTTCCTTCGATTATATGTAATATATATATATATATTATCGTATAGAATTCAATACATAGAAATGAGACTGTGAATTGGCTGATTCTTGGAGTGCAAAGAAAAACATCAAACATCTAGCGCCTTCTCTTGGACGTGAAAGACCCCACGACAACAAATCGTTGGAGTAAGAGCCCCAAGCGGGATGTCCAGTTTGCGCTCGCACTGCGCCCTGGCAGAAACAGACATATTGATAGCAGGTGGCCTATCCCTTGACATTCTTGAGTATTTCTGGACAGGCTCTGAGTTCACAAATGTCAAGGATGCAACCATTTTGCATTCACTTTGGCCCTCGTTCGACTGAAGACCCTGACAAACCTTCTCGAATGATCACACTAAATACCTGTGATGCTACCGCTGCCGCTGTCTGTCGCTGCCCCCAGCTGTGATTCTAATGATGCTGAAGATATGACTGGAGTTGGCAGGGCTTAGTGATGGCGGTGGCGGCATGTGTCATTTAGCAATGCCTCATGATGTCGGAGATACCTGTGATTCTGCTGATGCTAATCCCCCTAGAGCATCACCTGCAGACATGTTATCAGGTTGCCTTTCCACATGTCAACTTCTTTGCACGCCTTGAGGTAGCGCTACTGTCCACTAGAGGTGTGAACATGTCCAGCCTGCAGATCGAAGTTCTTGGGATACGTGTTGGTTTCAGTACGCGGGTACGTGAGGTAGCCATCCAGGTACAAGCGCTCGGCCATATGCATAGCTTGCTGAGGCCCAAGTCCCAACCTGCACAGATGATGAGGTTTGTTCTGATCCCTGATTCACTGATCACATCCAATTTCTCTGATGATTCATGATGATTTCCTGACGGATGACGGCATGTAAACTCAAAGATTGAAAGGACAGGGCTCCAATTCATGATCAGTACTTTCTTTGTGAACAGTGCCACAATTTGCTGCTCGACCTTGTGCTTGCCATCTTCAGCATAGCCACTGTGTTCAGCGCTTGTGGCCGCGCCATGCGGTCCTCCTTTTGAGTGACATCGGTGACCACTGCTTTCGCTTGGTCCTCCTGGACCACGTTCATGAAGAGACTTGCCACGGGCATGTCAAAGACCTGTCCCCTATCCCATTGCAGTGCTAAGTCCTTGCCACCTTTGGACAGTTGGATATCGATGGTGTAATAACTCTCTGGTTGAAATGCGTTGATTTCATCGCTTCGCCGCACACAGAACCACAAGGTCGGAGTCTGACAGGGACCATAGGACACAAGGTTTGTGTCCAGATCACCATATTTCCCTTGGAAGTACTTCGTCTGAAAGCGCGTGAAAGCGCAGCCAAGCTTCAAATCCATTTCCTGAATGGCAGCAAACATCTAGATCAGAACTTTCAGCAGCGGTACAGATATGGTTCAGGAGGGTCTTTTGAGTGACAATTTTTGCCCTTATTGTTTTCAAACTTTTGGGCTAGCAGCAAAATCCAACCCTCTTCCACACATGCACTAGCTTCACTATTTTTGTCAAGCGTCTGCACGGGCGTCCACAGAATCCGACATGTCTTTGTTCGGGGATCCCAGGTTTGCCATTGCACGTTTGAGATCAACTGGAGCCAATGATGAAAATTGGGCTCTCCAAACTTGTTGCTGTCTGCCTGCACTGGACATATTCGGGAGCGCATTATCCATAACCTGCAAAGGGTTTGCACAACGTGAAGTGAACTGTGGCCAAAGACTTGCTCATGGGAACTCGTAGTGACCCCACTCATAGGAGCCTTGTAAATGCAAGCACAACATGCCAATACTCAACCATCATTGGGAAGATATGAGGCAGCCAACAGCGTATCCTTCAGAGTAGGTGTCTTTTCTTTTGGTGAGACCATCAACCTTCTCTGAACGTTGGAAGGGTTTCCTGATGGAACTTGGATGCAAAAAATGTGTGTCTTTTCAGAACAAGAAGTGATCGTGGTCCCTCTTCACAATCGAACTCAGATCCCTCAGATCCCTCAGATTCTGCCTCATAGCAGATATTCTCTCCCTCGCGATCACAATCGAGCCAAAGCACCAAATATGAGCAGCCTTTGGCCTCAACAGGTACGGATTTCAACGGCTCCAGGTTCGTATTTTGCTAACTTCCAACGCTTTCAGTCGCGTCCTACTTGGTCAGACCCAGCCTCTGTCTGGAAGTGCTTAGGCATCCTTGCAGCAAACCGAGTGGCGAGTGAAATGGAGTGGCATGGAATACTTTCAGCACTTCAATGATCTTCAATGATCTTCAATGATGTTCAATGATCTTCAATGATCTTCAATGATCTTCAATGATCTTCAATGCTGTACCCTTGCAATCATTTCAGCACCCATTGTAAGCTCCATCGTCCTGAGTTTGGGATTGGCTTCCATCTTCACCGTTGGAGCTCCAAAGAGAGTCAAAGGTTCGACTCTGTCCCAGTTGTTGTACTCAGGAGGGAAGTCAATGGAGTAGACGTGACCTTGGGGTCAAGAAGATTTAGGAAGTGCATGCAGTTGCAGTGCATGCTTGAGATTACTTCAGTACATCCTACTTCACCCTTGTTTTCACAGACTCCAACCATGGATCTGCAGCCAAGATTGATCCAAAATGAGCACCTGACCTGCACAGCTGGTGACCTTGAACCACGCGCGCTGGCCATAGAAGTCACCCTCATATTCATGAACTTTGCAAGCAGGTGACACCTTGGTCCAGGAAAAATTGAGCCAATGGCGAAGGGAGGCATCACATTACATAGGGATACACAGGGTTTATATCGGTTTATATGTAATTATAGACATTGACATTCAGCACAACTTCGGAGTGAACCAAGATGAACCAAGACACTCCGCTGCGAGTACTGTATTTACGGTTTGGAGACAAAGCATCGGCCAGCGTCTGTGCAATAGATGGCTTTTCTGCCACCATAAGAACCTCGAACAAAGAAGCTTCGAAGGACGCTTAATAATCTTAATAGTGGTTCTCCATGTTTTCCCTACATACATAATGTTTAAATGTTGATCGCATGGCGACACAGCTACACTATCAGGCCAAAACAGCCAAGTTTGTCGACAAGCAGCACTGACCACCATGACTGCTAGCTGCCATGCTCAAACGAAGAACCGTCCACTGTAAATTCTGTGAGCCAAAATCGTGAAAATTGAACTTGAAGCTGCTTCCAGTGATTGTAGTGCTTCCATTTTGTGCATATTTGATGACCAGGCGGGAAAAGAACAACTCTTGTAAAGATAATTGGTTGGGGATCAAGAAAATCTTGTCTAAATATCACTACCCCGTCAATGACAAGCTGAAGTTCTCTCTAGCCTAGTAGCACGTAATGCATCCAGACTATGTTCCATGCCCACAACGCCACAAGCATCTGGTTTTTTGTATAATATCACGCTCTAAGTAACAAGGTGTGTGCCTGTTGGCATGATTTTCACCAAGAAGTCATGTTTCATGCTGGTTTGATGATACTACAGGAATCTTCCATGTTACCCGGTTAGCTCAAGATTTCTGTTACTTGCTTCAGGGTCATGGCATGTATTTCCAGTGTTTGTTTTTTTGGCCAGCGACCCCCTTCTGCCCTTAGGACATCTCATCACGCGTTTTCCATGTGAAGCACGGCCACTTGATGCACAGAACGGAATTCCGGCATGATTGAATCAGGTGGCGCACGATGCATCGACCACCCATATCTCGAAATGGTTTGGTTGAAGCGCTCCAACTCACCTGTACGATCCTTCAATGCCATGATGATGGCGGTATTTTGTACTGCAAGAGCTTCCAGCAGAAATATGAGTGTCTCGTCGGCAGGCGGTGACAACGCATTGGAATCCACGCACTTCTTCCCTGCATTTCCTGGATATACCAAATCACTACCAAGTATGACATCCCAGGGTCCTTTCGCTTTGATCTTCTCCAGGTCCTCTGCAGAGTTCCAATCAAATACGTCTAGCGAGACAGATCCGGCAAAAGATGCATTGCTTGCCGCAGCCTGAATGTTGACATTGGCACCTTCCAAAACTCTGGGGTTGCCATCTGTTGCACAAACTTCTGCACCCTCAATGGCCAGTGCAATTGCAACAAGTCCAGTTCCTGCACCCAATTCCAAGACTTTCTTGCCGGCCCAGTCCAGGTGACTGCGAATCACATAGTCAGCCAGTACAATGGCTGCCTCCCAAAGAACACCTCCCGTACCAATTCGCTCCTCTTCGCGACGTTGGTGCTGTCGGATTACCACATCTTGGCCATTGGGCAATCGAACCGTGCGTGTCGGCAGCAGCACGGGCAGATGCTTGGTCAATGCGAAAGAAAAAACCGTGACCTCACTGTAGGGATTTGGATGAGGAGGTTGACAACCCAAGGAAATCTCGCCCTGCCACTCAGCTTTACAAAACGGCTCGCCTAAAGCTCGGCTTTCGATTTCAGCAGCCTTGCATTGAATTAGACCATTCTCATCAACATGCATGTCCACCTCAATTTGAACGAAAGACCTGTAAGACGGAATAGGCAGAGGTGCAAGTTCCATCATTCCCAAGAAACGATTACCTTCACAAAAGGGTCGCTCTCCGGCATAAATCTCCAATCGTGGAGAAGCTTGGTCGTCGTGAGTTGTTGTGAAAAGCTTGGTTGTTTGTGCAGGTAGCGTACTTCCACGATGCAGCAATTCTTCACAGACACCATCTGTGACCTTCACGTGAAGAGAAAGTTTCAGTGAAGTTTCGGCTCTTGGTGCATCCTCAATATTCTCCGGCGGAAGTAGAGCTAGCATCTGGGGAATCTCCTGGGACAAAGGCACAAAACTGGGCATTGCTTTTCTGCAAATTATTTAGAAGACCGGATTTGCTGTGAATCATTTCAGGCAGGTTTCACTTTGTGACAAAGCAGCCACAATCAAGAACAGACTGCGCCAAAGTGCACATGGCCGAGGCATGCAAGGCACTAAAGTATTGCTATATTGAGTAAATCCAATGCTTTCGGAAAAGCTAGCTGAGATGGCACCAAAATGGTTTATTTCTATAGGAATACGGAATACATGGTGCTTTCAAAGTGTTCCCTGAACTTGCTACAAGCATGGTGAGTTTTCATGGTAATCGTTCAAGCCATGGTGTTTGCAGCTGCCCCGGGGGCTGTAAATCGCAACCTCGTAATGCTGACGCTCACAGCAAGGAATGGTCAAAACAAACCCAGCAAACTGGAGCTCTACTGTTTGGAATTGAAGAGAGTGTGTGTGGGCAATGATTGCCAATGTTCTTTCCATGTTCAGTGGCTTGATATATGGGCAAACATTTTACTCGTGAACAGCCCATCTCTTGGCGTTGCATAGTTCAAAGCTTTCGAGCCGAAGCAAGAAGCCATTTGCAAGTGGAGGATGACACTTGAGCGCTATGTGGTTTAGTACTCTCAACGCTTTCCAATCTGTGTCAACCACGACTCCAAGTCGGTCTGGACTCTGGAGCCTTGCCTTGCACCCTGCCGCAGGCCCATGCACAGGTCGGAGTTTGTTGAATAATTGAGGTGCTTATTCGGAGAAGCAGTTTCTTTTGCCAAGATCACTCAGCTTGACCGCTCTGTTTGGCGGGTCGGTCCATTATCGCTCGCTTCACACCAGACTTGGCCGCTATGCTTTGTAGTGCAGCACTGTCAGCATTCGATGCGACATGTCATGTTGCGTGTTTGCAGCAAAAAAAAAAAAAGGTTGGGCTGCAGATTACAGTAGCACCACATAAAACCTTGTTCACAGAAACTCTGGAAATCAGAAGAAAATACTCATGACATTCAAGTCTGACTGGCCAGTTTCTGCTGAGCTATGAAATATACATTGATCGTAACGTAACCCCTTGGGTTTGTTGGTTGTTAAATCATAGTAAATCAAGATATCACTTGTATTTAGGTCTGGACCCATCATTTTTGCTGGCTTCTCCACTCCCCAATTTTGTAGGTAAAATTCTATGCCTCCATTTCCATGCTGCAAGCACTGTTAATGTACACAAATGTAGGCTCTGTTAGTTTACAGAGCCCTTCCGAAGAAGCTTCACCATAGCCAATTCCTGTTGAAAACTGGTGCCCACCTCACAAACCAAACTCAGTCCAGAACAGCCAGCGAACAGCATCTGGAACTTACAAAAACACAAGGGAAAGCAAAGCACGACAATTTCCAGTCCCCTGACCAAAAACCTGAGGGATTCGCGCTGGGAGATGCTGACCCCCGATGTGGAAAAGAAGTGGCCTGGAAATTGATTGGGTCTGAATGTAAGCTACACCAAATTCTGTCATCATCTTTCACTTTAATTGGCCATTTATGGGTATATACCAGACCATTGTTGGACAACCCCACTGCATTGGAGACACCTTGTCAGTTCCATCAATTCCGTGCCTTTGGTGTCAACCGAACGCGGCCTGGAGAACTCTGCAATGTACAGTCTTCTCAATGAACTGATTTAAGGGAAGATCCACGGGAAAACTCCATATTTCCTTTCGGGGTTAACAAAAAATGGCTTCCTGATGCTTCCTGTAAATGTTCCCTCAAACCAATTCTGGGAAGCTCACCATCACCAGGCTGTGCAGTGTGCCTATGGGAACTCCAGGACGTTTGCCCAAGCCATCTGCCCAACTGACCTGTCTCTCACAATATAGTGCTGGGGTGTTGGTTGCATCGGGCTCGTTGGATCGGAGTCTAGGTTGGATGGGCACGGCTGGATCGGAATCTACATTGGTTGGATCATGGCGGTATAGATCAGGACCTTGCGGACTACCCCGACCGTCCCGACCATCCCTAAAGAAACCCTAAAGAAACCCTCATCCCGAACATCCCGAACATCGTGACCATTTATTCACGATGTTGATCCAGGATCGTCTTTGACGCTGATTCTACGCACTGATCCGAACGTTTGGATGTTGATTCCGGGCGCTGCTCCGTGACGCTGATTCGACTCGATAGTTTCTGACCCTGAATTTACTCTATAGTGCTGATGCCAGAAGAATCTTCAAGCGGGTGAAACGCCTTACCACTAGCAGCCAAAAATCTTCAGCTGAGGGTTGGTGCAGCAGTTGACGTTGTGGAGACACCTCATATTTCGAGTAGTATATATATATATACAATTATATATATATAAATGCATATGCACATATATATACATATATATATACATAATTATACATATCACATACAGGTCAGCTAAGGCTGCCACTGACTCAGGTGACAACCGGTGTCCTCAACGGTTGCACAGTTCCCAGCATACACCATTTTCTTTTTTTTCGATCAAAGGAACGCGTGCGATAACAAAAGAGCAACACCTGTTTAGCCTTCAGCAAGTTCTCAGGCCAGTGAGAGCAAAGCTACATACCAGCATTAGGTGACACTGATTGAAAATGCACTTGAACTGGAAATTACTTGAGGACGGATCCATGCCAACCCTGAGGCAACCCTGACCGTCCTGTCTGCAACCCACAAGAGGACGGCGCAGCAGTTGATCTGCAAACAATTGGAGCATGATTGCAGGATGGTACGGGACTGCCTCCAAACATCCCCTCAGGCTAAAGCCGAAATCAATGAAGCATGTTATGAAACAAATTATAAGTAGCTTTCAGGTCACCGTCCCATATCTTTCAATGACCCATGGCACAAAACAACATAGACTGGAATGTGCGGCCTAGATGATGAACTGAATGCTGACGGTTTCTGCTGACCTCAGTGGTAAACAATTTTGAGGTCACTGCATGGGAAAATGTGCACTGAGTTCGTGGCTTGCTTGCAGGTGGCTGTAGGGATTGGGCGTCGTACACAGTGGAGCAAACTGGAAGGCACTTCTGATTGTCTGGAGTCTTATCTAAATGGGCCTAAAATGGGGAACCCCAATGACCCCTTGGTTTCTCCATTTACGATGACCAGTTTTGGATGATTTTGGGGTCCACCACGAAACACAGCAGCGACTGCAGCTTCACCTTCATCTCATTTTGATCGATATGGCACTGTCGGTCTTGATTGCAATCCTCGGTGAGGGTGAGGATCATGACCAACTCAACATATGCAAACTAGTGACCAGCAAATGCCCAGTGTGGACAAGCGATGTTAGCTTCCCAGAAATTTCTCGCACCTCTTGGACAGCTGGCTTGATGTGTTGATTTCTAGAACCCCAACCCGAAACTTGTTGTCAGATTGGATCTGACTCTTCAATGCCTTCTACAATTCAGCCGCCTTTCTGCCCCAAAGCCTATTCAATCTAAACTTGTGGAACGATGAGTGAAATCGGGTCTAATAAGCTGTAATCAGCTGCTTAGTGTCTTGACGACATTGATGTTGTAGCTCTGAGCACGTCAGACCTGAGAGCATCGCCACAAGTGAACCGATTGGCGCTTCACGACTCGATCAAAAGCACCAAGGATTTCACCCATGGTTCCAAGGGAGGCGATGCTGGGAACAGCGGAGAATCACTGATGGACCCTCCTTCCAACTCTAAAAATCTGAAGTTTCACTGTGAAACACAGGGAATTCGAAGAATTGGATAGTTGGATTGAGTTCAAAGTCTGGTTTAAACTAAACCTGTTCTCAACTTGTATTTGTTCAGGATTGTTTTCAGTCTGGTCTGCGGTACACTTGAACCCAGTGCTGTCAAAAGTGGATTATGATGCACAAAACCGCCAGTATTGTTCCACCGTTGAATCTTCACACACTAAATTCCTGGAACAATCTCAATATTGTAGTGTAGTCTCCATTCAACGCAAATTCAAAAAGATGTTTAGATACTTCAGCGGCTTCTGCAAGACGAGGTTGAAGACCCAAAGGTCACAAATGTTGATTTTTTGTTGAATTGATCCCGTTCAACGTCCACTCCTTTTTTGCACTCGCTCTGCACCTCCTGTTTCTGATGCAAACAAACGCGAAAAAGGCCCGACCAAATCAGAACAATATTGCATAATTTGTTAAATTTTCCTGCATTACATGTTTTTTAATTGGTTGCCTTGGATCTGCCGGAAACAGGATTTGCTGCGGCTGTACCTCAGGCAGCCTGCACGGCTTCCTTAACAAGGTTTAAAAAAAGATCGGCAGCCGATTGTGAAGAATTGGATGCCAGAGTTCCTCTGGGCCGCTCAAAATAAAAGGCGTTGGCGTTCTGCGGCCACAGTTTCAAGCTACGCCGGCGAAAATTGAAGGCCGCCATCCCGGATTTCTGGGAAAGGCGCCTATTTGTGGGGGGAACCAGCCCTGCCTTGAAACTGGCCCAAATCTAATACATCCATGTATGTATGTATGTATGTATGTATGTATGTATGTATGTATGTATGTATGTATGTATGTATGTATGTATGTATGTGTGTATGTGTGTATGTGTGTATGTTGGTATGTGTGTATGTGTGTATGTGTGTATGTGTGTATGTGTGTATGTATATGTATATGTAAATGTATATGTATGTGTAAATGTATATGTATATGCGTCGGTGTGTGCGTGTATGTATGTATGCATGCATGCATGTATGTATGTATCATGGCATTCTTGCCATATTATATATATATATGCACATGTTTGTTACACATTATGTAATTTTATTTGCATCCGTATCAAAACATACTTTATGCGTATACATGTTTCATCATCTTCTTATGTTGTGCTATGTTAAATTACATTGCATCATATTACATTGTATTATGTTATGCTACATTCTATACCAGTAGTGCCGCACAAGGCGGTGGCGATAGTTTCAAACATAGGAAGCGACAGGAGAGGTACATTGTGATGCATGATGGCAGAGCGAATCCACTGATGAACTGACAGGTAGTTGGAACTGCGTCTTTGTAGTGGTTGCAAAGGTCACGTCACCCACAACTGCTGGATGTAGCGTGGGCAAAGTGGAATTGCAATTTTAGCTCTAGCTGTAGCGCAGTTGTAGTTGTAGCTGTAGTGTAGTGTAATTAGGGTAGCGTAGTTGTAGCTGTAGTTGTAGTGTAATCTAATTAGTGTAGTGTAGTGTAGTGTCGTGTAGTGGTAGTTGTAGTTGTAGTTGTAGCGTAATGTAATGTACTTGGTATGGTGTAATTAGTGTAGTGTAGCGCGCTGCAGTGTATTGTAGTATAATACTGTAGCATAGTGTAGTGTACTGTCCTGTAGTGTATCTGGTGTAGCGTACTGTAGCGTAAAGCCTAGTGTAGTGGTAGTGGGAGTGGTAGCTGTACTTGTAGTGTAGTGTAGTGTGAGTAGCGTACTGTCGTGCAGTGTAAGTAGTAACTACGTAGTGTGGTGTAGTGTACTGTAGTGTACTGTAATGTAGTTGTAATTGCAGTTGTAAGTGTGCTTGTAGTATAGTGTAGTGGTAGTGGTAGTGGTGGTTGTAGTTGTGGTGGTAGCAGCAGTAGCAGTAGCAGTAGCAGTAGCAGCAGCAGTAGCAGTAGCAGTAGTAGCAGCAGCAGCAGCAATACCAGCAGCAGCAGTAGTAGTAGTATTTGTTGTTGCTGTTGTTGCTGTTGTTGCTGTTGTGGCTGTTGTGGCTGTTGTGGCTGTTGTGGCTGTTGTTGCTGTTGTTGTTGCTGTACCTGTAGCTGGAGCTGTAGTTGTTGTTGTCTTGTTGTCTTGTTGTCTTGTTGTCGTGTTGTCCTGTTGTCCTGTTGTCCTGTTGTCCTGTTGTCTTGCTGTGAATGCCCAAGTGGTCCGAACATTGTGTTTTTCACGTGTTTACTTCGAAACGGGCTTCACGTCACAACGGCGTGCACTTTTTCGACATCTCGACTGCCAAAAGTGGTTCGAGACCGTTTTTAAGCATTTTGGCTTCGAAATGTGCTTCACGCCACAACGGTCCACTTTTTCAACATCTCAACCAAGACCGGCAGTTTTTAAGCATTTTGACTTCGAAATGTGCTTCACGCCACAAATGCATCCATGTTTTGAACATCTCAACTTCCAAAAGTGCTCCGAACCCGTCGTTTTTTAATGCTTTTGACATCAAAATGTGCTTCGCGCTACATCGGCGCGCGCTGTTTTTAACATCTCAACTTCCGCAAGTGCTCCGAGAATGGTGTGCTTTGTACATTTTGACTTCCAAATGTGCTTCGCGCCACAACGGCGTGCAATTCTGAATCTCATCTCGCCAAATGGCTCCGCACCCGCCACTTTAGCGAGCCTACTTTTCGACCCTCCAGAGCCCCAAAACATTGGAAAACACGTGTTTCGCGACTTTTCTGCGTTTTCGCGCACCTTGATCTTCTTTCTTCTGCCTTTCTCTTCTCTGATCTTCTTTCTTCGTCCCTTCTCTTCTCTGACTCTTCCCACTTCTCCTTCGATTATATTATACTATACCATACTATACTATACGATACTATATTATATTATATTATACTATATCACATTATACTATATCAGATTATATTATGTTTATATTATGTTATGTCATATTGTATAATATTATGTTATATTATACTGTCTTGTGTTATGTTGTGTTGTCTTATGTTATATTGTATTGTATTGTGGTATATGTTATGTTGTATTGTATTGTATTATGTTATCTTATATTGTATTCTGCTATGTTACATTGTATTGTATATATTCTTACACTATATAAATGCGTATATACATACATCTATATCTATGTCTATATACATGCATAAATAAATACTATATATTACACATACACAGCTCCATATATCCCTAATACTTCAGTCGTGACATAGACTACCAAGCTCCAGGGCAGGGTGCTAAAAAGCTGCCGACAAGGCGCGTTTTCTTTGTCTCCAAGATCTATAATTGGACTTTGGCCTACTTGCAAATAAAGATCAGTGGAGATCAGTGGAGATCAGTGGAGATCAGTGGAGATCAGTGGAGATAGAATGCTCAAGATCTGATTATAAGTTACAAGTGCAAATTTGGATTCAGGTGACTGGAAAGAGATTGATAACTTTCTCTGGATTTCTGGATGCGTGCATCTCTTTCATGATCTCTCTCATTCTTTCGAGATAAAAAGAGCTATGCTTGTGTGGGCCAAAGCTTTGAAACAATAATGGCTAGATATCTCTCGCTCTGTGTGAGCTCTACACGTCCTCACCATTGCCACAAGGTGTTAACCTTTGAACAGAACTGCCTCAAGACTCAGAAGTTCAAATGTTCGAGGCCGCTTTGTTCTCAGTTCTTGTGGGAGATGTGGCACTTCCAGCTCTTAGTCAGAATCGCTCTCCAAAGCCTTCGGTTTTCACTGCGGGGCGAAGCACACAGTCTGGCATGCGTTGGAGCTTCTCTACCTCTGCCTCTATGTTTGTTCATTTGTTCATGTATCAGATTTTGCCGCTCTATCTCTGGGGCTTCCAGGATAAAGGTTCAAACTCGAACATCTTTGAGTCTATGAACACACAAAATTGATCCATGTTTCTGTTAAGTCATCCCATTTTGGTGGGAAATCATCGCAGCCACATATGTTGAACAAAAATCCTCCCACCTCACAAAGCTGAGCAAGGTCTCCGTCGCTCCAAGAGCGGCGCATCGACACTTGCGGTAGCTCTTCGTCAATTCGAACTGCCTCAGGGACCAAGGCCCTCGAGGCATACGACTGCGGGAGTCCAATGGTCCAATGCCATTAAGCTCATTAACCTCCAAAATTTGGGATGACTTACCCTTGCAGTTTTTGAAAATCACCCATTTTGGTTTAACAAAAAATGAAATACTGGAGATTACTGGAGGCTGGTAGCTTATGAAATTGATTTACGACATTACAGTATCCAGCTTCTTTGGCAACACCACACCTCCATGAAAGTGCCCTTGATGCGCAGTATGATGTCGTCATCCGAGCTGGCAGCGACACCAGGAGGAGCCTCAATCCATTGTTGACATTCGTGAGTTCATTTTCTGTGGCCTTACGATCCCCATAGCATCTACAGCAAAGATTCTGCATCAATCTATGACAGCTATGAGCTGTACCTTCTCAACTTTAAAAAGCCACAGGCCACATGCCCTCAGGGCCCTCAGCTTCAGGCTGTTTGTTGTCGCTGCAGTCGGTTCACACCTGGCTCATACTAAATCGACTAGATATCGACAGTGCCAGGTCACAGGAGGCCACCCATGGCCACGCCGCTGTTGTAAACATGGCAGAGACTCCTACGACAGAGGTTAAGGCCTGATTCGGGCAGAAATGAATAAATGCCTTCTCAGACAGCGAAGCCTTTCCACATGCGCCAAGTAGCCTCCGACATCTCCCCATCACTTCCAGTCAGAGAACGCTCCACTTCCTGGTCAATTGAATGTGAAGCACCTGGTTTTTTTCGTGCAACTTCACTCACTTGCAAGGGGGCCTGCAAACCAAACTGATTTCCATCCCCCATAAAGTGTGCCTTGGTCAACTCACTATTCATGTTGAGGACCACATTCCCGCATGAATCTCAAGCATGACAGCCAACTCAGTGCACAGCTGTCTCGACATCATCTTCTGCCATCTCTGCCATTTGCATCTCCTCCTGCGAAGTTCATTGCAACAAGACTTTGGATATGAAGTGGCCAACTAGACCTCGGAAGTCAAATGACTCACTTTACCAACCAGAGGCCACATCAATTCCTGGCAATCCTCCAGAGAATATGGGTACATGCCAAAGCCGAAACCGAAGTCTGCTGCCTGCAGGATCATTGATCGTTTCCACTCGTTGTCTAATTAGTTCCTAACCGTGCCAAAAACTAGCTCTATTGCAGCTACACTAGTGTCACACCTTTCTGCTTCTGCTCGTCTCCAGTTTTCACTTCTAAATCTCATAGCCACGCTCTAGCCTTCCCCTTCTGTTCCCTGCCTTCCTAACGGTCTAAGACGGTGAAAAGCCATCCACAAACATTATTGTGTTAGTTATATATATATACATATACATATACATATACATATACATATATATATACATAGACATATATACATATATACATACATACAATACCATACCATACCATACCATACCATACGATACCATACCATACCATACCATGCATTACATTACATTGCATTGCATTGCATTGCATTGCATTGCATTGCATTACATTACATACATACATATATATATATACATGATATCATATGATATCGTGTTCAATTGACTAGCTGGATGTTCTGATGCGTCATCTTCCCGCTTATAGTGTTTTGCAGGTTGTGATGGTTCATGCAGCTATCAAGCGCCTGTCCCAAACCAACACCACACTGCCACTCTCGCCGTGGCCTCTGACAAGTCGAAATCAGCTCCAAACATACCTGCAAGCTAAGCTGTGGAAACGAACAAGAAGCATTGAGCAACAAATGTCGCAGAAATGCACAGCCACAGCAACAACTCTGACTTTCCAAGTTTGATATGACGCAAGGTGTGACCCAAATCACTCTTGGCTTTGGGCCCGTAAAATTCGGATTACTTCGCAGCTCTTCAACTCCGTGTGCATAGCGACAGGAAGCACCTGCCTGCAATGTCTTTGCAAGCTTGGCGCGCTCCAAACACAACCACATAGTCACAAGTCGGCAGAAGATAGTTTTTTATTGCGAGAAAAAAGATTCTTTTAATTCTGAACAAAATATAATACAGCTTCGAGATTAACAAGCCTTTTGGGTCGTTAGACAGTACGCTGTCATCAGAAATCTACTGAAACGAGAATGGGATCATAGAAATGCAAATCAAAAACTCAAAATAATCAAATTTGAGAAAAAATGGCCCGCCTTGCAGCTGCCATTTGCCCACCAGCGGCAAAGCTCCGTCTTAAACACGGTATCGGTCGCTCTGAGCTCGCCATACCTAGTGATTCAGTTCTCCGATCGAACTGCACCGAACTGCACCGAACTGCACCGAACTGCACCGAACTGCACCGAACTGCACCGAACTGCACCGAACTGCACCGAACTGCACCGAACTGCACCGAACTGCACTGTCAATGAGTCAATGTGAGGGTCGCATGTTTCGGAGAGTAAAAAAAGTCTTGAGACCGTTGAGACCCTCGCCCATGGGCAAACTTGCAGTTCGCATCGTTGCACTTCCGACGGAAAAAATTGTAGCCTGCAGCACACATTCTTCATGAAATTCATGGTCCAAAATGGTGTGAATTTCTTCATGGCTCAACGTTGTGAACCCCTTCTTTGCGCATCTTGGTCTTCGTAAGGCTCCAGCAAAGCTTGGTCTTCGTCAAATCTGGTGCTTTCTGTAGCTCCTGCGGCTATTTAATGACAGTGAAAGGAGGCGGTTCAAGTCGAAAGAGTTCAATCGCTGCTGACTTCCACCAGGTTGTTTTCACTGACAAAATAAATCCACCCATAGCTGTGATGCCCAGAGAGTAATGCGTCAGTCAGCTATTTCAACTGCCACTGCGAACTCTGCAAATAGCTACAAACCAGCTGTGGCCTTTGGCCGGGCTGAGAGAAATAAGAATGGAAAATAATTGGGAAGGCGTCGCAAGTGAGCCCAGCGCGGAGTTGGTGTTTTGTTTTTTACAAGTGCAAAAAAAGAAAACAACGGGTACAGGAATCATTCCATTCATTACCGATCCATTAGTTCATTGGTGCGGAGATACATATAAGGTATAATACTGTAATACATAAACTCTTGATGGAGTCTAAGGTAAACCAACTGCTCAGAGTCGCACCCCTTGAGGATGCAATGAGCGCAAGTACCAGTGAGTTCGCATGGGCAAACTTTCAACCGACATATATATGTTGCTTCTGACAAAGCTACAGTTTGCTCTCTGTTCGGAAGGACAGGGCAACTGGGGAGTCCCCGTCATGGGGAGGGAAAGCACCTGACCTGAAAGTCCTGAAACTCATTGCAATGAATGTGGTAGCTACATGTAGCTACTCAGTGTATGTTTGCTTCTTCTGCTTGCTGATATCGAGGTCAAATGCAGTTCATTGTGCACATGGAATTGCTGAGCTGTTTGCCAGAACTCTGCCTGACTTGACCACTCGGCGTTTCGAAAAACTTAAAATGAGACGTCGAAAGTTTGCAGCACAGGAGTGTTGCCACAGCAGAATACAACCCTTCCAGTCAGCTTGCAATGCATCTTTGACTGCTTGCAGCCGGAAATCGTTTTGAAACAGCATCTTGTGGCTGCTCAGTTCAGTTCATTGGAGGATACAGCATTCTTTGCACTTTTCCTCAGAGCCATGGATGCTTGAAACGAAGCCAGCTGAATGGGACCATTGTGAGCTGAGCTGCTGGGGGGGAAGAGGGTCGCGCCTCAGAGGTTTATCAATGCAGACCATTGGGCTCCACCAGTGGTGGATTTCTGTATCAAAGAATCCGATCTTATCCAATTTTAGGATATAAAATGATATAATTACGTTTGACCCAATTTTGGGATATATGAAAAAGAACTTCTCCAATTTTGGGATATAAAATATATAAATACTCTTGACCCCTACCCACCTGGAACATAGGAAATGGAATGGAAATGGATGCAAAAAGATGGAAATACTGCAGCCATTCTGCAGACTGGTTGTCGGCTCGGATCGCCGTTTGGCTCCAGTCAACTTCCAAAGTGCCAGAGAGTTGGCCTGGCTGAGCATATCCCATAATGATGCCATAATGGCAATGTTGGGAAACTGATCAACCCCTGGATTTTTTGGTGGCACCCTCTTCTCAGACAAATCCATGTGGCTTTTCAACTGATAGATTAGATTCGATAGATTGATAGAGAGGTTACCAGGTTATTCTTTGCCAAGGTGTGACCAGCGACTGCAAGTGCGCCTGTTCCGAAGGTCGAACTCTTGTTGACAATTGCTTTTTGGAAGCCTCAGATCTGGTGCTGTCTTCATCAAGTTCGAAAACAGAATTGCTCAAACCAGAACGTCAACTGCAGCCATGCCAAGCTGCTGTACTGGAAACGCTCTCCATCTACAGTATGAGATGAATCCCAACCGGGAAAGCGAAGTCCAACGCTTCCAAGTTTGTTCTTTTTACTATACCTTGGATCGAAACAAACAGGGCCAAAGAAGTCACAGAAGTTGCATAGTGCAAATGTCTTGGAAATGGGTCAACCTGCAAAATGTTGGCCGAGCTTCAGCACAATCTGTAGCGTACAACCTTGAGTTCAAGCAAAAACCAGCTGCTGTGGAAACACAATTCCAGAAAAACAAAGTTCCCGCGATTCAAGGACAGAACATCCAGATCCAGACCTTCGCAAATTAGTCTGTGTTGCATTGCCAAGACAGATCGTGAGAACTCGCAACTGGTCCCTTGATTTGAGACCAAGCACTTTGCAGCTCTTCCTGGTTCATTGCTGCCGGGCGAATAGTGGGTAAGTCCCGGGACCAAACCAGATCGGTTGATTGCTTGGTCCTTTGGCAGCTTGCTCTGTGACGAGAGGCAGCTGTGACAAAAGTGACAAAAGGCATCAAATTGATCGTAAGAATTCAAGCAAGGCACACCCTCATGTCACTCGTGCCTCAGTCTGTATAGACATCTTTGCATAGGAAAGAAATGACAAGCTCGGCACTGATGGCACTGCACTTCTGGAAAAAATGGAAAACGCCAAGTCAGCGGCACTCCAGAACATCCTCGCGGATGGGCAGAACCAGAAGTACCTGACAATTAGGGTCCCTGAACCAATAAGTTCAATTGTGCCAAGTCTGGCAGGCATTGACCACGACAGCCGAGTCACGGCACGCAGACGTCTGTGCCTACCTGCCAAATGTTCCCAGAACCAACAACAGCCTTTAAGTTGTTCGCCATTCCAAACTCGTGACACTTGACAATGACACATCATGACACATCTCTACAAGTTCACCTTTAAAACCCGTCTGTTGATCCCACACCTGGCAGCGAATGGATCGTGAGGTTCGACACTTTCACCACGGGTGAGACTTCCTGCAATCCGGACTTTCTTTCTGTCTGTCTGTAGTCAAAGGAGAAATGAGAATGAAAATTCCAAATGGCCACAAATTCGGCCACGAAAACAACTAAAACAACCCCTCAAAATCACTCAAGTTCTCCATCTCCTTGGAGAATTCTTGCTGCAGCATTTGACCTGCGAAGACAGCAAGTTCCATTTCACTTTGACGTTCCCTGCAACCCACATTGGCTCAATTGGCTCAGGAACAAAGTATGGGCCAGGAAATTCCAACCTCGTGCAGCGGGGGTTCGCAAATCCTCACTTGTCACAGAGTGGGAGTAATTGGTCAGGGCGGTCAAAAAAAATCAGTGCACTCACTCCTTCGTCAGTAAAATCCCACAAATGAGCAGTTCAGAATTGATAATATGGGAGGTTTCCTAAAATAGGGGGACCCCCTAAATCATCCAACATTTCAGTATTGAACCTATGGTTTTTGGGGATCCCTGTTAGGAAACGTATGATGCCTGGCATGCCTGGCAGAGCCTGGCAGACGAACTCTCAGGCTCTGAGGTTGCGGCAAAATGAGCATACACTGGTTTGTGATCACTGCTGCTGACTTGATCTGCTGATGAGAGCAACCGCTGCTCTGCATTCCCCTGGCCACAAGTGATTATGCAAACTGAGGGTGTAAATATATATATGTACATATATATATATACATATAATGTGTATGTATATATATATATTATAGAACATCATAGAAGAAACTTGATCTTTTGCCGTTCTTTGTTCACTCTTGCTGTCTGCACTTGCTGTCTGCACTTGTTGTCTGCACTTGTTTCTGTCTCAACCTGAAATGCATCCTCCCAATCCGCACACCTCCAAGGCTTCCGTGGACTTCCAAAGAATGCGATCACAGTAGGAGGGAGTGCGCTCCTCAGCGTCAGAACGGAGCAGGCAGGAGCTGCTGCGATCCATGGAGGGCAGTGACGGCAATGAGGGCAGTTACGGCAGTGCCTGTGGGTGGCAGTGACACCTGTGGGCTGCTGCCCAGGCTCCGACTGATGGCTTACACCTTGAATTCGTTCCACCTTGAAGGTTGGTGCGAAATCCATCTGCCCTTCGCTGAAGCCAGCAAATGCCTTCAAACTGAAGCAGACACAAAATCGTGAAGGGAACTATCAAAGTTGCTGCAGCATGTCCCGGCATGTGCAAAATTGGCCAGCCTTTCCGCAGTCTTTGAACTGCCGCAGCTGGTCAAACTTCAAAAGTTCCTGGCCAAAGCTGCGTCGATTGCAGATCATGGACAGGCTTGACACACAACAGGCAAACAACTGCCACCAGCCACCTGAAACTGGCCGTTCTCAATCAGGTCGCTCACGGTCAGGAAATCATCCGGCCGCGAAGTTGCCACAGGTGCCATTGAGTCCTGTGCCCGTCACAATCGACACGCCTCAAAACTGTGCAGTCCTGGACTCGTAGACCTTGCCTTGTGCGCAGCCACGTCACGCTGCTTCCCCAATGCCAGGGCAGGCAGCTCCTGATGGATTCTGATGGGCTAGGTCACCGGTCAGTTCTGGAAGGCTTTGGAACAGAAATGTTTCCTTAAAGCTATCCACTATACATCATTAAAGTATCATGTCACATCATGTCACATCATGTCACATGTCGGTCTAGTTTATGGCCATCGTGTTCAAAACATCAGTCCCACATGGTCCCACATGGTCCCACCCCACGCCTGGTCTTTTGACAAGTCCAGGCGATAGTTGAGATCTCCAAACCAGAAGCAATGATCAAACCTGGGTGCTTTGACGATTTTGACGTGTCAGAAAGTTTCTACACAAGGATCAAAGCCACCCACAAGATCCACAAGGATCCACATGCCATCACTTAAGGCCAGAACTGAGTGACGATATCCAAGTCTGGATGGCAAACTGGCCATGTCTCTTGTAGAATCTCCCGGCAATCATTGTTGCGCTTTTCCGCGGCACTCCTCAGACACTGTAGATTCAACATGATTCAACATGGTTCAACTACAGAAAGTGATCACGTACTACAAACTGCCAAAAGTTATGAGTGTGCTTCTGTGATCTTCTGTGTGCATTCTTCACTTCAGTGCTTGGCGACTAAGCTGTGGTCGCGTGAGCAGCCAAATGACAACTCACAAAGCACAGGCTAACCGGTCCAAAATGAAACGTGACGACAAGGCCCCCCTTGTTTCCAACCTCGGGATGTTGTCGCTGCCACTTCTCGATCTACAATACGCTGCTCCTAGACACGTTTCTTGCCACACAAGTTGAAGATCTGCTAAGGTTGTGACGGTACCTGCTAATAGACCGGTGGCAGAATGGGTGTGCTGCACAGAGTGTATCAGCGGACCATCTTGCCAGCTGATTGTGCCATCGCAGTACTCCGTCTTTGCAAAGACGAGTAGGCGCATGTTCATGAGAACTGCCTGCATCCAGGGAAAGGAGCAACACAGAGACCCAAACTCTGGACGCACGGAAAGGGCCCTTTCAAATCCAAATCACATCATAGAATCATATCACATCCCCATATCCCCTGCATTCCCCTGCCCTCCATTTCCTCATTCCATCAACTTCTCACATCGGCCTGCTGGACTCGGGTAAACCCATCACCAAGCCGCTCAGCTAAAATGTCGTCCCAGTGGAACGAAAACGCCTCCTCTCCAACATCTCGGACCTGCTTTTTCCGCCTGTCTGGGCTCTCTGATTTTTGAGACCCAAAAGTATGCAAAGCTTCCTCCACTGCGCCAGACAGCATAGGTAAGGCTGTCTTTCCGCTTCCTTTCAAAGATTTTCTTCGCTTTGCGAACCGTGTTGGAGTGTTTACCCACTCCGACACCCAGTCGTAGCTGCACTCTTGCACACCAACAACGATGATGTCAAAATCACCTCAATTTACAAAGCTTCTGCTGGATGACATGACTGGATGCCGAAGCCATGCTAGTGCAAATGAATAACTGGGGGTTGAAGGAGACTCGGGGAATACCATGAAGAAACGAATCCATCTGCCACATTCCCTTGGTATATTTCGTATGTTTCAGAGATAGCAAGGTGTTTTTCAGCCAAGAAGCCTCCTTCGTTGGGCAACCAACACTGCAGTTCGTCATCAACCGGCTTTGCATCACCCATGTTCCATGTGAAGCACAGAACCTGGCGGCTCCCACCAATTCTTTCAGACTGTGCCGTTGTGCCATGAAAATATGCTGGCCTTTATGTGCTCCCAGGGATCCACATGCTCCGCCAAATCCACCTTGAACCCGCCACAAGTGAGTCACAAGTCACACATGTTTCGGTATGTTTCGGCAGAGTGCTACATTGTTTCAGGATGTTTCTGGAGTTACTAGCAGGGCAGGTCACAGGATTCACAGGAGTGCAAGCAAGCAGCTTTAACATCATTCAAGACTGTGGCCATGAAACAAGCCAGCGGCTCGCCGGCGGGTTTCAAAATGATTTCTGGAAAACCTGGAGCCCTTAGAACGTTTGGTTCGCCTTCTACAAAGGAATACACGTCGAATTCCTGTCACATGTCCGGGAGAATGTGTGATGGATTCTCAAGTTTAGGTAATTACGATTAATTACGCATATGACAGAGTGGAAGCTGTTGTGAACAACTGACGCATGTGAAACCGTGTACGTCATGCCTGTATAGCTTTGCAGCTTTTGAGCCCAGCCGGCTACGCATGATTCCAGCATCTGAAGACTACAACTACAGCAGTGACGCAAACAGTAGCTGACTATGAAAAGGCGAAACACATGAACCCTTCACGGACCTCTTCAGAGTGGGCGAAGGGGCATTGAGTTCCCATGCTGCACTTCTGCTTCTTGTTAAAGACCTGTTGGGATTCCCGTCAAAACGGGCCAGAATTCATCATCGTTTTGGAGCCACTAGTCAACTCGATCAACACAGACTACTACACCCAGAATTTGTACACAAATGTCTGAGCTTCCTGCACAAAGCTTTGTCTTGTGAAACTGCTCCTTGATTTGAGGGGAGAATTTGCTATTGAGCCTGAGTCGTGTCTCAACATCTCTGCCAAGAACACGCGCTCACGTGAATGATAGGAAGGAATCACAGAAACATGATAAATAAACAACTAGGGGTGACTGGGTGTCGACTCCACTCGCTAGTGCAACAAAACAGCTCACAAAGGACTCACAAAGGGCGACAAAGTCTGAGAGCCAGGCATTGCATTGGGATCAGATGACCACTGCGCCGCTGCTGCTGGAAAAACCAAGGGGCCATTGATCAAGTCCTTCACCGGACGCGACGCACAAATTTGATCCGATGGCCGTGATGTATTGCTCACATCCCCGAAAACCATGGAAAACCTGGCACCAAAGCAACTTCATATCAACACAAAAATAAATAAAAATGAAAAAATGAGACATGCTCGGCTCCGCCTCTGCCACTCCAAATGATGTCCAGTAGGCCACGTTGTTCTCTAAACCCTGGACGGGGAAGAAGGTCACAGTTGCCTGGGACTTCAAGCGGTGCAAATCACACACCTCAACTCAGAAAGATCAAAGATCTTCTCAATATTTCTGAACCATAGATGAATTTGGCCAGAAACTGAAAACTTCCGCATACAGCAGAAATGTACCCAGGATGACCCAGGCCTCTCCAGCTTGCTGGAAAAGCTGCTGGCACATCATCCTGAGAAATATAATGTGCCCACGACAAGCAACACAGAAATCTGAGAATGGCAAAGACATCTGCTTTGTGATCTGCAAAATCTGCAAAAAGATTTCTGAGATTTTCTGAGAATCGATCACAAAGCCAGGATCCACAAAGTTGACCACTGCACAATGGCCATATTCTTCTTGCCTGTCAAGCCCAGCCAAGGGCCAAGGCGGCCAAGGGCGTCTGATACCAAGGACGCAATTTCATAGCCACCATGATGCCACCATGATGCCACCATGATGCCACCATGCCTCTCTGGTGGCATGTAGAAGAAATTGTAGGCTAGGCCCCAACCATCCAGCTGGAGCCTTGCAGGTTGCAAGTGTCTGATGTTTGAACCGGTCTTGTCAAGCAATGGAGCAATCCTACTGAAGTCTGTCTTTACAGTACTTCTGTGGCATCTCTTTCAGCCTCAGAGACTGTGCATCATGTTCCTCAGAGATGTCCCCAATCACAACCTCAGGGACACAAAATCTACAAATTTGCAACCATGCGATTTTGACAGTTGTCCCGGATGCCGGCCGTCGTCAACGGCAATGATTGGGATTCTTCTGCCTTCAGGTCTCTGCACGAACAGAAGAAATCTGCGGAAGGCAAAAAAAACAGAATAGAAAATAAAGAACAACTAGCTATATATATATAGCATAAACTGTTGCAATTTCACGCCCTTCCAACCTCCTTACGACCCCTTCTGCGTCGCGCTTTCTTGGATGGCACCACAGGATCCATGATCAACGCATAGCTGGAAGCAATCATGGCCTGACATGGCACGCACAGCACAAAGCCAATCTCCAAGATCTCCAAGATTCATGGCCACCATGGCCTGGAATTGTGTCGTCATGGACATGGGGACAAAGTCCGGGGCATCGGCTTTAAATGACCTGAGCAATTGCCAAATTAGAGCAGCAAACCTACTTTGCCAAGAATTGCCAAGTCTCAGATGAGGTCCTTGGGGGTTTTGGGCGTTTTGGGGCCCGACGAAAATGCAGCAGCTGCTGCTGCCTACCAGGTTTGAAAGCAGGTAGAAATATCATACAAACTTCAGGCCACTAGGTAAGCTAGCAGGGTGGATGAAAATGATGAGGAAAGGATGTTGCATCATGTCCATGAATACACTGCCACTGACAATGGTTTCTCATGGTTTCTCAATAAACAACAATCCAGCGCAGCGATGCAAGGGGAGGACGCGGGGGGGGGGTGTACTTCACAAAGAAGATTCACGCGAGTGGAGATTCCAACCCCTGCCGACACCTTGCAAAAGCAAGAGACTTCAGCTAGCCGAAGCTCGTTTTCGTGATAAATACAAGTCACCGTAAGTCACGGTAAGTCACCCGAATCTTCGGAATCTTCCGAGCCTCAACCTCCTCAGGGGACCTGGCAGGTCTCCCGGATCAAACACCACCATGACTTCACACCGACTCAAACTACATCCAACACATCCAACATCCCAATGTCTGACCATCTGCCCATAACTGTCCATATCTGCCCATAACTATCCATAACTGTCCATAACTGTCCATCTGATCAAGTGCAGATCTAAGATCAAAGGGTGCGGGTCCTCCCACCTTGCAGGTCTTCCTGCCACGATGTCAGCAAAATTCCGCACCAAGGCCTCGGAAAGTGGCAAAGTGACACCCAAGTTGAAGCTAACTTAGGGCTATCGGCAGCTACAATAACTGCTATAACATGTTATAGCCCTACCATGATGGAGAAATCTCGCCCCTCGCCTTGGATTCCTCAGATTTGCCGCTCTCTGGATTAACCTCTGGCTCGAGCTGCTCGAGCTCCTCGAGCTGCTCCACAGGCTCGGCTTCGATTTCCAGTTTCGTTGGATCGGAGGATGCAGGTGACTGCACAGGCTTTCCGTCCTGCAAACAAGCAACGGATAAGCAACGGATTCATCGGATTCTCATGGATTCCCATTGATACCACTGAATCATTGAACTGGGGCCAGTTGATCACTTCAAATCAAGCAATGACGACTGGCACAGTGGGGATTGCCTTTGCATCACCCCTAGTGGGGCTCAGAATTCCATCAACGCCAATCTCAAGAGAACACAATGGATACTACCTACACATTCTGAAACTTCAGATTCTGGCCCCGGATTTGAAAGGCCAACAGGTCCTTGGAGTTTGCCAATCGGCGAGACTCAGAAGTGCCAGAACTGCTTTGGGGGAAAGCTTCGGCTTTCTCAGCCTTTTCGGTTTTCTCAGCTTTTTCGGTTTTCTCAACTTTTTCGGCTTTTTCGACTTTTTCGGCTTTTTCGGCTTTAGTTGCTGGCTTGGTAGCACCACTTCCCACTTTCGGCTGTCGCTGTCGCAGCCGCTGTCGCTGCCGCTTTGACAAGGAAGCTTCAGCTGTGGCTTCTGGAGCTTCAGGGACCTCTGGAGCCTGGAGATCTTCTGGATCTTCCTGTGGGTCTGGTTCTTCAGCCGGTTCCTCCAGAATTTTCAGATAAACTTGACACAAGCAAGTCGCCAGAACTTCTACACCTTACTGAACTTGAAAGTATATATATATACATCTTCATATGTTTCTTATGGAAACCCATACTGTAGCCAGTAACCAGCCTGTTCGCTTGGCATTTGCCCGTCATTTGCGCCCAGGAAAACCTGCTCCTCTCCTGCCAAGTTCAAGCTCCCAAAAGCAGGACTTGAAACGGTAGACGCCACAAAAGCGAATGTATCTATGTATGTGCATATGTATATCAATTAATTATGTGGGATGTATGTATGTATGTATATATATATATACACACACATGAGTAGGGATCACCTGGTTCCCCCCTCCCCCCTGTGGCCTGGGGGGAAAAACAACAATCCTACATGGGGCAGTGTTTGTGCAGCTGTAAGTGCTTGATGTCACAGGGAGTACATGGAGAGGATTTAGGGATTTTACTCTACAGGGAGAATATATGGATATATGCAAGGAGTCGTATATAGGTAGTGATGAGGCAATGTATATACTACATATCAGTATGTAATTGTTAGTTGGTGATTTGTATATATATATATATGTATGTACATATATATATATTATATTATATATATTATATATATATTATATATATGTACATATTCACTTCCAAAATGCTGCAAATAGCTTGCAAATGCATATATATATATACCTGTAGATGATACACATGTATATTGTATGTATGTATGTATATGTATATAATCAACATATGTATTGAAGAACTCTCACGCGTTTCTTGCCTTTTCTTTTGCCTCCTCGGGATCTTGATGAGACACTCTTGGTCCATCCATCTTCGCCCTGAAGAATGGAGAAAAACCGTGGCTGGAAAAGCAAGTGGAGATTTGCAAACACTTGCATGCAAAAGTCTGAAAGCAAGAAACGCCTGCGTGATGTCGTCTGTTTGTTCTGCACTCACCTCAATTTGCAGCTAAAAAGCAGCATTGATTCTTGCTTTTGGATCAAAGCATCACCAGATTTCGAGGACTTGGAGTGTGCGTGTGATGAGTCCAAATTGTCTGAACATTTGGGCCCATTGCCGAAGCCTCTTGAGGCAGCTTCGAGTGGGACTGAAAAATGACCTGGCCAAATCCTCAAGTTTTATTTCAGACTTTTAGAAACACTCAAAAGACCAGCAGCCTTCTCGGTCTTGGCAGGGATCTCAGAGTCGACAGAGCCAACCTATCAAATAATATAATAAGCTGCTGCAAAACTGGAAACAGAAGGGGCACAGTTCAGTCTGCTACTGACATCGGAGCAGCCTCCATCTTCTCTGGCTCCTGCACAACCTGCAAATGAAGCATCTCCAATCATGTCTGCCACTAAGATTGAGATCTTTTGCATCTTTTGGCCATGTTCGGTCTAGATCAAAAAAATTCCAACAGCGTTCATTTCTCCAAGACGTGCCGCTTCCACCTCTTCTCTGGCATCCGAAGTTGCAAGGAGGAACATCCCATGAATCGCCTGACTGGGCAACTTCCACAACTGTGCACAATGCAACCGCTTGGTGAACGCGTGCTGTCTGGTTATTTCTATGAAGCATTGCGATAAGTGGCTTGTTAGCACAACTTGGAAAGTGAGGATGGCAAAAAAGCAAGACAGGAAAACTTCAAAACAACCTGCCCACGCGGAAAGGTAGAAAGGGCAAAAAGCATGGAAAAGCACCTGACAAAACGGCAACACGGGAAAAAGTTCCGATTTTGGGTCGATACTACAAATCTGCTCCAAACCGACCGCAGAAAGCGGGCCTCGCTGAAGAGAAGGTCCGCTTGCTCTTTCATTCCTGGACCGCCAAGGCAAAGAAAGAATCCTAAGCGGGTGTGTCTAGAAATGGGCTATATCATATCGATATCAAAATTGCAATTTTTGTGGAGAAAAGATGATAAAACAGTGGATATTGTGATATTGGGGTTCTCCGATGTTGTTTCTGGAGAAATCCGACCAGCTAAGTTGAACAGTGGCTCCACGCCTTGCAGTTTGCTCTCTGCGCTGTCCTGAACATCCTGATGAGACGAGATTCATGCATTGTTTGAGGCCATGCCGAAGATTGCCACCCTTCCACCTTTATTTTGTAAATCACTCAAGTTTTATGCCGGAGGGCTTTCTAGGAATTGCAACACCATGTTCTGCCTTAGATACAAGTTTTGGCCAAGGTCATTAAGAAGGGCAGAACAATCTAATCCGCTGCTTATGTCAAGATACTGATTTCTTATTCAAGATGGTGATGCTGATATTCCAGTTTCAACTGTTTCAACTAGTTTTTAAAGTGTGTCTTGGCTCGCCTCCGCTTCATCACGTTCAGCATCTGGCAAAACGCCTCGAAAACCAAAATCACAAACATGCTCCGCACCCTGTGTATATATATATATATATATGTGTGTGTGTGTTTGTGATGATATAGTTTATATATATATGTAATAATAATTATTATAATAGTAATAATAATAATATTAATATTAACTACTGAAAAGTTTGGGGGGTGAGACCCAAATGGGGTGAGAAAACCACCTTTAAAAATATGAGAAAACATGGGAAAGTAGGGAAAATCATGGAAGATAGTGAAGAAAATATGACAACATGACAAGGGGCGTAAAAACATGACAATTTGAGAGTTTGACAGTTTGCGAGAACTGTGGCTCAAATTTCTCAGTCAATGCGCTTGGATGGTATCCAGCACGAGTTTGCAATGTCAAGGGCTCAGGTTCGTACAAAGCCTGTGGGCAGATCCATTACATGTGATTCTCAAAGGAGAATCAGGACAGCAGTGGTCTCCTGTTTCTTGAAGGTCAAAACATCTTCAAATGAATGGGCTTCAAATGGCAGGGTCTCACAGAGGGCAAGGTAGGGCAGGGTCTCGCCCATCAAACATCTTCAAATAAATAAGAGCAGATGGCAGGGTCTCACACATCAAGGAAGGCAGGATCTCACATAAAGGCAGGGCTTCACAGAAGACAGGGTCTCGCCCACTAAACAAAGGCAGGGTCTCACAGAAGGCAGGGCATCATAAAATAAAACATAAATAAACAAAGTCAGGGTTTCTCACAGAAGGAAGAGTCTCACAGAAGGCAAAGCCTCACAGAAGCCAGGGTCTCACAGAAGGCAAGGCCTCACAGAAGCCAGGGTCTCACAGAAGGCAAGGTCTCACAGAGGGCATGGTCTCACAGACAGCAAGGTGTGTCACTCATAGCAGGGACTCACACAAGGCATGGTTTCACAGAACACAAGGTGTCACATGTTGAACTGAGGCCTAACTCCCACAGAAGGCAGGGCATCTCACAGAAGGCAAGGCCTCAAAGAAAGCAAGGTCTCACAGAGGGCCCAACATTATGAACAAAGGCAGGGTCTCAGAGAAGGAAGGGCCTCACAGAAGGCAACGCCTCACAGAAGCCAGGGTCTCACAGAAGGCAAGGCCTCACGGAAGCCAGGGTCTCACGGAAGGCCAAGTCTCACAGAAGGTCTCGCAGAAAGGCTTCACAGAAGACACAGTCTCGCCCATTGAACAAAGCCAGGCTCACAGAAGGCAGGGGGGTGCCAAGCCTAGTTTGGCTACAAGCATGCGTATCACATATGGCGCAATGCAGGGTCTCACACAATAGACAGGGAAATAAAGGATTCCGCACCTGAAGGTGTTTTCACCCGTGAAATCACACGCTCCCGAACTGTTGCTCTCCTCTACTGCTCCCACACGCGAGCTGCTCTTGCTCACTTTCCGGCCCTGGGCACTCTTCCATAACTGAAGCTTAGGATTTTATATTTGGTCTTCGATAGGAGCAAGATTCAATCTATAGACATGCTGCACATTTTTCGATAAGAACAGATGGCAGGGTCTCACACATCAAGGAAGGCAGGGTCTCACAGAAAGGCAGGGCTTCACAGAAGACAGGGTCTCGCCAGGGTCTCACAGAAGGCAGCAGGGTATCATAGAATATAGTTAAGGACAGCTGGTAGGCAGGGATCCGCGCTGATGATCTAGTAAGCAGATTAGGTACACTTAAGTACCCCCATGATAGCAAATTCTGAGGTACACTTCTGCCCACTGGGGTGCCTTTGTTTGTATGTTGTATGTAGCTGAATCTGCCTACTGGGGCCGGGGTTCCCACCATTGTGTATATAAACAAATTACATATACCTCAGAATTTGCTATCACGGGGGTACTTAAGTGCTTGCCAACTAGATGGGCATGGGGGTACAATTCTTACTAGATATTACTAGATCATCAGCGCGGATCCCTGCCTACAGGCCATCCTTAGCTATGAATAGTATCGGTGGGAGATGCACCCTCTGCCAACTGGTAGGAGTGGCGGTCTTGATTTTTCTTGCGCCTAGTATCCAATACCCCAAGGTCATGAAACACATAGTACTGCAGTAAGCAGATGGGGGGGGGGGGGCGGGTTTGCTTTCTTTTTCCCCTCTTCTTGGTCCTTCTCTACCCCATGATGGAACTACATTACTATTTGCTCCTAATTTGCGGGGTTGTATGGGTCCCCGTGCGGACAGGCAGCGTACATGCATACATTAAGGATAGACAGTATAGACAGTGCTAGTGCTGGTGCTAGTGTTAGTGCCAGTGCTGTTCAGCAAATGGAGCCGCGAACTGAGGCGATGTCTCTCTATCTATCTATATATCTATATCTACCTATCTACCTATCTATTTGTATATATGCACATGTCTATGTATATGCTCATTATATCCTCAATAGAAAGGAGGTGCAGTAAGCAGAAGCCACAATATGTTTCGCACCCTTCTGAGGTACACTTCTGCCTGCTACCCCTGCTTGTCCAAAACCTGCGAAAATAGCATCCCCGACGAACATGCTAAAAACACACCAAATCGGACACATTTTAGGGCAGTAGTAACACTAAATTTCCTGCCTCCTGCCTACCGGACGTCTCAGACTATAAGCCAAGTCAAGGTCTCACAGAAGGAAGGGTCTCACAAAAGGCAAAGCCTCACAGAAGCCAGGGAGGCAAGGCCTCACAGAAGCCAGAGTCTCACAGAAGGCAAGTCTTAGAGGGCAAGGTCTCACAGAAAGCAAGGTGTGTCACTCATAGCAGGGACTCGCACAAGGCATGGTTTCACATCTGAAACAAAGGCATGGTTTCACAGAACATAAGGTGTCACATGTTGAATTGAGGCTTAACTCTCACAGAAGGCCGGGCCTCACAGAAGGCAGGGCCTCACAGAAGGCAGGGCCTCACAGAATGCAAGGTCTCACAGAAAGCAAGGTCTCAGAGAAGGAAGGGTCTCACAGAAGGCAAAACTTCACAGAAGCCAGAGTCTCACAGAAAGCAAGGCCTCCCAGAAGCCAGGGCCTCGCAGAAGGGCAAGATCTCACAGAGGGTCTCACAGAAAGGCAGGGCTTCACAGAAGACAGAGACCATTAAACAAAGGCAGAGTCTCACAGAAGGCAAGGCCTCACAGAAGCCAAGGTCTCACGGAAGGCGAAGTCTCACAGAGGGCAAAGCCTCACAGAAAGCAAGGTGTGTCACTCATAGCAGGGACTCACATAAGGCACGTTTTTACATCTGAAACAAAGGCATAGTCACACAGACGCAAGGTCTCACATGTTGGATGAAGGCCTAGCTCTCACAGAGGCAGGTCCTCACAGAAGGCAGGGCCTCACAGAATGCAAAGCCTCACAGAATGCAAGGTCTATGAACAAAGGCAAGGTCTCACAGAAGGCACAGGAGGGAAGGCCTCACAGAAACGCAGGCTCTCACAGACTGCAGGGCCTGACTGAAGGCAAGGCCCAACATGTGAAAGAAGGCTGGGTCTCATAGAAGCCAGGGTCGCACATAGGACAGAAGGCAAAACTTCACATGTGAGGTCTCACATATGGCAGAAGAGGGTCTCGCATATGACAGAAGGCAGGGTGTCACACACGAAAGAAGGAGGGGTCTCGCACATGACAGATTGCAGGGTCTCACAGATCTAACAGGGTCTCGCATGACAAGGCCTCACTCACTGGGCAAGCAAATTCAAATAAAGGTCGTAAACAGGCCAGAAGGGAAGGCATCAGAGAAGGCAGGGCGTCATAGCAATTTCTCGCCAAAAAAAGCATCTTGCAGAAGTCTGGGTGCAGCATGGTTTCACAGATGGCAAGGTCTCTTGGAGGGGAAGGCAGGGTCTCACAGGAGGCAGGGTCCCACATCTGAAAGAAAGCATCTTATTTGCAAAGGAAGCATAGGAAAGCAAAATGTTTTTTTTCCGTGATTCTTATGTTTTTCTCTTGTTTTTACCAAATAATCATGTGCCTTCCATGTTTTTCCTGGCAACCCTGGAAAACATCTAATGGGAGGGGTTTGGGAAGGATTATGGGGTGTGTGGGGAGGTGGGTGGGGGGGTTGGTGGTGGTGGGGGTGGGAAGGGGAGGGGTTAAGGAGAATGGAAGGGGTTGGGCAAAGTGTTAAGGGGGTGTGGAGGGGGGTGGGGGGGCTATTGTGGACAGGAGGGGGTGTGCTGAGGGAGGGAAGTCTTGCTCGCCCCGTTAATTGCGTTTTCCTCGCCCCGTTAATGTTGTCGAACGTTTGTCGGAGGAGGTGGTGGGAGGGATTAAGGGAGAATGGAAGGGGTTGGGGAGGGTGTTAAGGGGGTGTGGAAGGAGGTGGAAGGGGGTGGGGGTGGACAGGAGGGGGGGTGGTCCTGCTCGCCCCGTTAATTGCGTTTTCCTCGCCCCGTTAATGATGTCGAACGTTTGTCGGAGGAAGGGGTGGGAGGGATTAAGGGAGAAGGGAAGGGGTTGGGGAGGGTGTTAAGGGGGCGTGGAAGCGGGTGGAAGGGGGTGGGGGTGGACAGGAGGGGGTGGTGGTCTTGCTCGCCCCGTTAATTGCGTTTTCCTCGCCCCGTTAATGTTGTCGAACGTTTGTCGGAAATCTGCCCTATTCCGACCCTTCCAGCTGCTGTGAGACGCTGCCTTCTGAAAGACCCTACCTACTAGGCTTCTGTCCTGCGAGATCCTGTTAGATCTGTGAGACTTGCAATTTGTCATCTGTGAGACCCTTCCTTCTTTCGTGTGTGAGACCCTGCCTTCTGTCATAAGCGAGACCCTGTTAGATCTGTGAGACCTTGCAATGTGTCATGTGCGAGACCCTCCTTCTTTCGCGTGTGAGACCTTGCCTTCTGTCATATGCGGGACCCTCTTCTGCCATATGTGAGACCCTACCTGTTGTCACATGTAAGACCTTGCTTTCTCTCACATGTGAAGTTTTGCCTTTTGTCCTATGTGCGACCTATGAGACCCAGCCTTCTTTCACATGTTGGGCCTTGCCTTCAGTCTGGCCCTGCAGTCTGTGAGAGCCTGCGTTTCTGTGAGGCCTTCCCTCCTGTGCCTTCTCTGAGACCTTGCCTTTGTTCATAATGTTAGACCCTCTGTGAGACCTTGCTTTCTGTGAGACCTTGCATTCTGTGAGGCTTTGCCTTCTGTGAGGCCCTGGCTTCTGTGAGAGTTAGACCTCAGTTCAACATGTGACACCTTGTGTTCTGTAAAACCATGCCTTTGTTTCAGGTGTGAAACCATGCCTTGTGCGAGTCCCTGCTGTGAGTGACACACCTTGCTTTCTGTGAAGTTTTGCCCTCTGTGAGACTTTGCCTTCTGTGAGACCATGGCTTCTGTGAGGCCTTGCCCTCTGTGAGGCCCTGGCTTCTGTGAGGCTTTGCCTTCTGTGACACCCTGACTTGGTTTATTTTATGATACCCTGCCGTTTGTGAGACCCTGCCTTTGTTTAAGGGGCGAGACCCTGTCTTCTGTGAAGCCCTGCCTTTCTGTGAGACCCTGCCGTCTGTTTAATTTATATCGAAAAATGTGCTACCTGTCTATAGATTGTACCTTGCTCCTAGTATAGACCAAATATAAAATCCTAAACTTCAGTTATGGAAGAATGTCCAGGGCCGGTCCTGTCATTCTGCCGCCAACCAGAAAGTGAGCAAGAGCAGTTCGCGTGTGGGAGCAGTAGAGGAGAGCAACAGTTCGGGAGCGTGTGATTTCACGGGTGACAACACCTTCAGGTGCGAGGTCCTTTATTTCCCTGTCTAGTGTGTGAGACCCTGCATTGCGTCATATGTGATACGCATGCCTGTAGCCAAACTAGGCTTGGTGCCTTCTGTGAGACCCTGCCTTTGTTTAGTGGGCCAGACCCTGCCTTCTGTGAAGCCCTGCCTTTCTGTGAGACCCTCTGTGAGGTCTTGCCTTCTGTGGGACCCTGGCTTCTGTGAGGCTTTGCCTTCTGTGAGACCCTTCCTTCTCTGAGACCCTGCCTTTGTTCATAATGTTGGACCCTCTGTGAGACTTTACTTTCTGTGAGACCTTGCATTCTGTGAGGCCCTGCCTTCTGCGAGGCCCTTCCTTCTGTGAGAGTTAGGCCTCAGTTCAACATGTGACACCTTGTGTTCTGTGAAACCAGGCCTTTGTTTCAGATGTGAAACCATGCCTTGTGTGAGTCCCTGCTATGAGTGACACGCCTTGCTTTCTGTGAGACCTTGCCCTCTGTGAGACCTTGCCTTCTGTGAGATCCTGGCTTCTGTGACGCTTTGCCTTCTGCGAGGGGCCTTCCTTCTGTGCTGTCTTCTGTGAGACCCTGCCTTTGTTTAATGGGCGAGACCCTGTCTTCTGTGAAGTCCTGCCTTTCTGTGAGACCCTGCCTTCCTTGATGTGTGAGACCCTGCCATCTGTTCTAATTCATTTGAAGATATTTGAAGATGTTTGATGGGCGAGACCCTGCCCTACCTTGCCCTCTGTGAGACCATGCCATTTCAAGCTCGTTCATTTGAAGATATTTTGACCTACAAGAAAAAGGAGACCACTGCTGTCCTGATTCTCCTTTGAGAATCACATGTGATGGATCTGCCCACAGGCTTTGTACGAACCTGAGCCCTTGACATTGCAAACTCGTGCTGGATACCATCCAAGCGCACTGACTGAGAAGTTTGAGCCACAGTTCTCGCAAACTGTCAAATTCTCAAATTGTCATGTTTTTATGTCCCTTGTCGTGTTGTCATATTTTTTCATTATCTTCCATTATTTTCCCTAATTTCCCATGTTTTCTCATATTTTTAAAGGGGTTTTTCTCACCCCATTTGGGTCTCACCCCCCAAACTTTTCAGTGAATTAATAATAATAGTAATAATATTAATAATAACAATAATGAGTTAGATGTGCAATCATCTGGATACCGAAGCAAGCTAGAAATTAACATGGCCTGCTGCGACTTTGGCACGCCTCGCGAGAAGATCATGACAAGATCTGAGATTGAACAAACGGCACCTCAACAACAAACATCTATAACCATCTACTTCTAACGTGAATAGATCATAATAGATTGACAGTAATCACTAATCAGTAATCTAAGAATATCCAGCCTCGCTTTGGCAGCTTGTTTCCTCTCCCTTCGCTGTGCAGCTGCCTTTTCCTTTGCCTGTTAAGCTCGGGATGTCTGGCAGGGGGGTCGCTCAAATTGTGCATTTTTGCACCTTCCTCCACCGCAAACACTGTAGTTAGGATGAGCTTTCACAGAGTTGTGGTAGTGGTCAAATCTACTCTGCAGCATTGTCTTGCCCACTGTTAAGTCGGGGAATCATATTTCACATGCACACGACATCAGGGCAGTGTTTAGGATTCTTACATGAAGTCAGTCTAAAGAGTCTAAACCCTCGAAAATCCCTTATGTCTGAAATGTTCCACACTTTAGCAACATCACTAGTCTTGGAATTGTGGACCAAGTGGCATTTACATTAGCATCATGCAAATCAGTGGAATATGATCTGTGGATGTGGTTCATTTCAGTTTGATATCCTCGGGAAAATATGTTGAAAAGTTTAAAACCACGAAAGGAGGGAATAGAGAGTTCGAAACCACTTCTTGATACTTCTTGCATGTTCTGAACCTTTGCCTGAGACTCTAAGCACTTCCAAAACTAAGTAGACATAATCTCCATCACATGATCTACAACATCACTGAACTGATTCGTCTTCTCCAAGCGCCTCCTTTTCCTTCGCTTCCTTTTGTTCCATGGCGTCAATCCACGATTCATCCACCTCCACCTGCAGATGCAAATCTGCTCCCCTCGTAATTGATGTTATAACTGTTATAACTGTTATACTACCCAAAGTTACCCAATATAGTGGAGATGATCATCGATGAATTTTCAATATCGTTGTCAACCAGTAGTATGGAATCACATGCCGCATGCAGATCTGCCTCAGCCACGGCTGCCTGCGCAGTGACCTTCTCTGCTGCTGCTTGTGCCTTGCCAGTGCGTTGCCTTATTGCTGACTCCTCCATGTTCGTTCGTCTCCAAAAAAAGAGCTTCTCGGTGAAAAGCAATAGCTGTTCATATCGAATGTCTTAATTGTTGTGGTTTCGTATGTTCTTATGTTTCTTCTGCTTTCTTGTTGTCCCATGGTCCATCTTCTTATGTTTCTTTGTAATTCTTTGTAGCTCCAGAAGTGGTTCTTTCTGTTTTGCAATTGGCCTTGGCTTCTCTGCGCTGCCGCAGTCTCTGCACAGCACTTGTGGGTCTGGCACAAGGTTGCCAGTTCCGGAGCCATGCAGTCTTTCCTGATAGCCTTTGAAAGTTCCGACGTAGAAAAACGGGATTTTGGTGACGTGGAAAATGAAGGAACTCATCCTGTGACCAGGAAGTTTGAGGAATACCCAGGAGTTACAACTCGCAGGCCCCACGGAAGTGCATCTCTGGAATGCCGAGCCTTCAGCAGAGTCATTGACTTTTTGTTGCAAAAATGCACTGTACTTTGAACTCTTTGGATCTCAAAGCTCCAGAAAGGCTATGAAAGGTGCTTTCCGATTGGTTGTCTCCCTGAGACATCTGCGGATTGTCGCTGGGCAGAAAGGCTAGGGACTACGTAGTTCATCCACTCCTGTGCACACAAAGTGAACACAAAATTATTCGAAGTCAAAATTGGGGACATTAATCATCGAAATCTATATAACTGTACCCCCGCCAAAGGTTGCCAGACCAAACAAGAGAGATCCAACCGTAAATCCAACCGAAGTCACCAGCAACCAGTGGGGGAAAGCTGCCTCGTTGCCCACATTCATGTTGATTGGATCCCAGGAGAGGCTCTGCTCGTGTCCAGCTTCCTGAAGAAAACCAACTTAGCTGTGGAAAAGCACCATTGTCTATTGGTAAATCATCTGCAAATGGGCCATGTTCCATAGCTATGTTATATTACCAGAGGATACTTCAGTTGCTATTATCTTCACAATATATGCCCTTGGGTCTGTCAAATAGCAGGCAGTCTGCAGACTTGGACTCCAACCTTGTCATTTTGAGAAGCAGCTCTTGACAGAAATTGCCTCAGAAGATATGGTATCGACCATGGCCGTTGACTCGTGCCTCTTTAAAATGGATAAACATGTCTACGGTGTCCTTTCACCCGCAGCAACGTCACCAGAAGCAGGGTGCCATGTGTGTAAATATATATACATATATATATATATATGTGTATACACATACGTAATATCATAATATATTATACATACATTATATTTATTATAGTAATTATATATAGAGTAATTATATATATATGTAGTAATTATATTATATAGTGATTGTATATATATATAGTAATTATATAATATATATATATATAGTAATTACATATATAGTATTATGTATATAGTAATTATATATATACACAGTAAACATATGTATATATAGAGTAGTTTTATATACATATATAGTAATTATATATATAGTAATTATGTATATACATAGTAATTCTATATATATATATAATAGTAATTATATATATAATTACAAGTACATACAGAATTATATCCTAACATAGACCCGGGCAAGCCGGCGGCGGAAGTTTCCCAAACATAAATGACCTATAGTTCAAAGACAACCTGTCCCGACCGTGTCCTTCCCTCGACACTCCACACCGCACACTGCACACTGCACTCTTCGCACTCCAAACTTCAAACTTCACACTCCACACTTCACACTTCACACTCCACACTTCTCACTTCTCACTGCTTCCTTCACACTCCAAACCTCACACTTCACACTTCACACTGCGCTCTTCGCACTCCAAACTTAAACTTCACACTCCACACTTCACACTTCACACTCCACACTTCACACTTCTCACTGCTTCCTTCACACTCCAAACCTCACACTTCACACTTCACCCTGCGCTCTTCGCACTCCAAACTTAAACTTCACACTCCACACTTCACACTCCACACTTCACACTTCTCACTTCACACTTCTCACTGCTTCCTTCACACTCCAAACCTCACACTTCGCACTTCACACTCCACACAGCACACTTCACACTTCACACTTCACAGTCCACACTTCACACTTCTCACTTCTCACTGCTTCCTTCACACTCCAAACCTCACACTTCACACTTCACACTGCGCTCTTCGCACTCCAAACTGAAACTTCACACTCCACACTTCACACTTCACACTCCACACTTCTCACGTCTCACTTCCCACTGCTTCCTGCACACTTCACACTTCACACTGCACTCTTCACGCCTCACACTGCTCTAAACCTACGTGCAACAAAAAAACACTAGTGCCAAAATGGAGAAAATCTGCTAACAAATCCAGGTCGCAGCTTTCATGCAGCCACTCCAAGACGATTACTGAGATCCAGCTGCAAAAGACAATAGTATTACGCATGCAGCCACAGCACGAAGCAACCTTGACGCAGCCATTACAATGCGATCTGCAGAGACTGAGTTGCAAAACACAATAGAACTACGCGCAACGGCGTCGGAAATTGTAGCTCCAAAACCGGATCTCGACGCCAGAGCAAAAAAAAGACGATTTTGAAGCACTTTTTAAAAGGATTTTTAGAAGGAAAATCACTAGCGCCAAAATGGAGAAAATCTGCTGACAAATCAATGCAGCCACTCCAATACGATTCACGAAGTCCTGCTGCAAAAGACAATAGTATTACGCATGCAGCCAAAGCAGGAAGCAACCTTGACGCAGCCACTACAATGCGATCTGCAAAGACTGAGCTGCAAACTGCAATCCCATTTACATTGCGGGAACGATCCTACAGTTGCAAAGCACAATGGAATTCCATCGGCAACTCCTCCACCAGCACCACTTGCAATCCCATTTACAGTGAGGGAACGATCCTAGAGTTGCAAATCACAATGGAATTCCATCAGCAACTCATCCCCCAGCACCACTTGCAACCCCATTTACAATGCGGGAACGATCCTACAGTTGCAAATCACAATGGAATTCTGTCGACCGCACATGCACGAAAAACACTTGAACCCCCATTTACAATGCGGAACCGATCCGAGAATGATCCGACCATGATCCGACCACACACGAGACCGTCTCGCACCCGTCGCACCGCAGAGGTAGATCATCGGCGTTCGGGGACGGACTTTGTATGGAAAAACATAGGGTTTCGTGCATCTGCTATCTCTCAAAAACGCATTTCGTGCGAGACTTCCTTCAAACCTCCATCGGCAACTCCTCCACCAGCACCACTTGCAATCCCATTTACAGTGAGGGAACGATCCTAGAGTTGCAAATCACAATGGAATTCCATCGGCAACTCATCCACCAGCACCACTTGCAACCCCATTTACAATGCGGGAACGATCCTACAGTTGCAAATCACAATGAAATTCTGTCGACCGCACATGCACGAAAAACAGTTGAAACCCCATTTACAATGCGGAACCGATCCGACCATGATCCGAGAATATCCGAGAATGATCCGACCACACACGAGACCGTCTCGCACCCGTCGCACCGCAGAGGTAGATCATCGACGTTCGGGGACGGACTTTGTATGGAAAAACACAGGGTTTCGTGCATCTGCTATCTCTCAAAAACGCATTTCGTGCGAGACTTCCTTCAAAACTCCATCGGCAACTCATCCACCAGCACCACTTGCAATCCCATTTACATTGCGGGAACGATCCTACAGTTGCAAATCACAATGGAATTCTGTCGACTGCACATGCACGAAAAACAGGTGAAACCCCATTTACAATGCGGAACCGATCCGACCATGATCCGACCATGATCCGAACATGATCCGCCCATGATCCGACCACACACGAGACCGTCTCGCAACCGTCGCACCGCAGAGGTAGATCATCGAGGTTCGGGGACGGACTTTGTATGGAAAAACATAGGGTTTCGTGCATCTGCTATCTCTCAAAAACGCATTTCGTGCGAGACTTCCTCCAAAACTCCATCGGCAACTCCTCCACCAGCACCACTTGCAATCCCATTTACAGTGAGGGAACAATTCCTTTGCTAACTCTTTCTGTGACTAACTCTTTTCCTCACTAACTCTTTCTTTGACTAACTTGTTTCTTTGCTAACTCTTTCTTTGACTACCTCATATATCCTGACTAACTCTTTCCCTCACTAACTCTTTCTTTGACTAACTGACTAACTGTTTCTTTGCTAACTCTTTCTTTGACTAACTAACTCTTTCCTAACTCTTTCCCTGACTAACTCTTTCTTTGACTAACTCTTTCCCTGACTAACTGTTTCTTTGCTAACTCTTTCTTTGACTAACTCTTTCCCTCACTAACTCTTTCTTTGACTAACTCTTTCCCTGACTAACTGTTTCTTTGACTAACTCTTTCCCTGACTAACTCTTTCTTTGACTAACTCTTTCTTTGACTAACTCTTTCCCTCACTAACTCTTTCTTTGACTAACTCTTTCCCTGACTAACTCTTTCTTTGTACCTCTTTCCCTGACTAACTGTTTCTTTGCTAACTCTTTCTTTGACTAACTCTTTCCCTCACTAACTCTTTCTTTGACTAACTCTTTCCCTGACTAACTGTTTCTTTGCTAACTCTTTCTTTGACTAACTCTTTCCCTCACTATCTCTTTCTTTGACTAACTCTTTCCCTCACTAACTCTTTCTTTGACTAACTCTTTCCCTGACTAACTCTTTCTTTGACTAACTCTTTCCCTGACTAACTCTTTCTTTGACTAACTCTTTCTTTGACTAACTCTTTCCCTCACTAACTCTTTCTTTGACTAACTCTTTCCCTGACATGTTTCCCTCTTTCTTTGACTAACTCTTTCTTTGACTAACTCTTTCCCTGACTAACTGTTTCTTTGACTAACTCTTTCTTTGACTAACTCTTTCCCTCACTAACTCTTTCTTTGACTAACTCTTTCCCTGACATTCTAAAAGTCCGTAACACGGAAGTTTCTCCCCCTAAACTTCCTTTGATCATATATTTCACCATTTACAAGACTTCGAGACCATGAAAACTCCAAGCTCCCCATAGGAAGGCCTCTATCCTCAAACATTTGGTGGACTTCCGGCTCTCGCAACGGGCTGCAACTTAGACCAGCGTAGTCCCCAGAGACTATTGTCATAAGTCTTTACAAGACTGTTGGATATTCTTCGCTCTGACTTCGCACCCCCATGCTGGAAGACAATTCGAAAAGCAAGCTGGAATATAGGGACAAAGTTCTGGCCACAGGACAAGGACATGCTGGGAGACAAGATACCAAACAAAATGAAAAAACAAAATGGGAGACAGGAGGGGAGACAAACGGGAGAGGAGACAGCACCACCCAAGCCACTTTGGCTGCGGTGCCTGGGAGACTGTGTTTGTAGACAAGCTGGAAGATAAACTAGGAGACAATCTGGGAGAAAAGGTGGAGGAGGTGGACAGCAACCTGCTCACAAACTTTGGGCCACCCTGATCCTATAGGTCCTACGAGAACTCCCATTGCTTGCAGCTGTTTTGCCAGAGCAAGTCTCCCAAACTCATTTTCCCAATTGAGTCACATGAGAGCTATCAGTCACGAAATTGTATCAGGCGGACTTTGGCGACTTCGAAATAAGGCCAAAACTCCTTTCCAGACGTGCCGTCGCGGTGCCCTGACTAATGACTCAACTGAATCAAATCTCGATGAAATGTCTTCCCAAGCCAAATGTCTGTTGCTGTGCCAGCCTTGGCGGCCGTCCTTGGGCTTTGCCGCCCTTAGATAAAGAATCACAATTCTTTGCTTTGAAAACAGGCTGCGCAGTTCTTTGGATTGATCTGTGGCTGTACAATTGCGTGCAAAAACCTAGGCAGCAGACTTGTTGCTATCTGCCTCAGCATACCAGGCGCATGTCTCACTTTCGCAGCAAAATATCAGCAATTTCGGCCTGTCCCAAAAGCTTCTTCGCTTTGTCGATATTGACGTTCATAAAATGCTGCACTTTGTCCTGGTGAACGGCAAGCACTTCATCTTTGAAAAACTTCAACAGTTGTGAAGAGATATGTGCGGTGCACACAACTTCGATCAGGATTGGCTCAACTCCCAAAGCCAGGGTTTACAATGCTCTTGGATAGAGGATTCCTTCTGCAAAACATCGGTCATGCTCGTATTGTATTCAACAAAAAAAAGAATCGCAGCGTCCTAGTTTGATTTCTGTGGGGGAATAGATTTTTATCCAGGGGACAGTACAGACAGCTACAGTTCTGTTTCCCACAGCCCTGCAGTCAAGTTGCCAAGCCAGCTTCTAAGACAACATAGACAGGGTCCAAAGCAGCATCACAGGCGTCCAGAAAGGAAACAGTTTTCTTCCTAGGCAGCAACAGAAGTAGGATTTTGCATTGTGCATCAGCCTCCGGGTCCTTTGCCTGACCTGCACACCTTTATGCAATGGTTTCTGCGCTTCCTTTCTACCAAAGCTTTCTAGGTTTTGCTGCACATCCGTCGAGGCCCCAGCACTGCCCAGCTGATACGCTTCAAAGGCCTAGGCAAGATCAACTGATCAAATTGCAACTTGCAAACAGTATGGTGATGACGTTAATCATAAGATATTATAAGATATCATAAGTATAATATGCTGTGTCAACGGACGTGTACTGCCGAGAGATCCATGTGTGCTGCTAGGGTAAGTTCGGGCACCAGCTCAGGGACATCAACTGGGTTTCCGACTTCCATCCTCCAACCCTTGCAGACACCACCTTTCAAAAAAAAGGAATACACCGTCTTCACATTCTTAACGTTGTGCTTCAGAGTGTGAGACAATGTGAAGCTGAAGCAAAACTGACCTGGATGGCTTCCTCCAAGTACAGTGCGCAGTTTTCGGACCATGTCCTGTCGATTTCGGACGTCCGTCCTTCGGACGTCGTTCGGACGACGGACCACGTCAGAGTGGCCAAGGATCCTGGCCTAGCTTGAGAGCTACGTCGCTTTCGTCTGGGTGTAGGGTCGCCAACCTCGGGGATGTATGAAACTGTTTGCGAAACTGTTTGCAAAACATGAAACTGTTTGCACGACGGAACCCTGCTCACAGGCTCACAGGGTCGCAGCTTGGTCATCTTGTGAATTTGGAGAGAAGGATATCGCTTGGCTCGAGGCAATAAATCGACGAATCGCACACCCAACGACCACGCCAAGCCCAACACACAGCAAGAACCTTTGCGAGATCTGATGAAAATTGCTTTGACTATGTGTCAAGTCTGGTATGGCTGACCCTCTACACGCTGCTGGCATAGGTCAAAGTCCTACCACTTGTTGCTTCTACAGAAACAAGACTGCTCGTACAGAAAGTAGACAAGGTTGGAACGTAGCGCCAGCAGAAAGGAACGTCAAGAATGAGGTTAAACCTGCAAAAGGTCAAGTTCAAGTCCAATAGAGTCAAATACATTTCTGTCCGTCTGCGAGCCACCCTTCAATCCATAAAACGGAGTGCCTGTAACGGATGGCGCCATACTGGGTTGACAACCTCAAATGCAGGGCGTGACTCTTCTGGGTTTCTAGATCAACTTGACATCTCTGCACTGTGATTCCCCGAACTGGCGGCTATCGGCAATCGTGACCAAGCCAGTAGCTAAAGCACAGCGCATCATTTCTCTGTCGAGCCTCGCAAGAAACTGGTAAAACACATCTTTGCTCGTCATATGCAAAGTACAGCACAACACCAGCCTTAACGAAGCCTGACTTGCACTCGCAAGGTTCAGATGAGCAAGCTGCAGGTGACCTTGAGTACGGGGCAACACCTCTGCAATATGTTTGAAATTGTCTACTCAGAACATAAAATCTTAACATTTGTGTATGACTATATATATATTCCTCTAGTACCATTATATGTCTATATATCGTTGTCATTCGTTGTCATGATGTATAGCATTGTCATTATTGTCATTCTGATAATTGTTGTTGTTGTTATTATTGTTATTATTGTTATTATTGTTATTATTGTTATTATTGTGATTATTGTTACTTTTGTTATTATTGTTATTATTGTTATTATCACAATCACACATAGTGATGTCTATATATATATCGACACTATGTCTGCTCCACTCACATTTCAAGTCATCTCAAATGCGATCAAAGCAGCAACGGACACTCCGGGAGAGAAGGTGTGCACCTCCGTCACACAATCTGGTCACATAATCTGCTGACTGAGAAAACAAAATCACCAAACGTCTGAGGGCGCAACAAGTAGCAAGTTGATCTATTCACGGTCTGCATCTCCTATTGCAACGAAATTTCAGATGCTGTGGGTGAAAATCTGGTGCCCATTTCTGCACTGAAAGAAGGCACCTTCCGAACATGCGAAGAGTCTTCGCAGCGACAGGGCTCTGTGCTGCATTGGGATGGATCTGTAGTGCACATGTACCTTGCAGCAAGGAACTAAAGAACCTTTGTAAGCCAACTTACAACTTGCCACAAAGGAAAAGGTTCATTAGACCTTGCTGCGCACTCCTTGATGTTCAAGCATTGCTTGCCTCTGCTTGTACAAAAGGTTCCCATTGTCGAGGCCTCAGCTGGGCACTGCCGTGTCATCCCACAAGTATAGCCCGTACCGCCCGTACGACCCGTACGGCTCTGTGATGCAAAGTTCGTTGAATGTTCGCTGTTAATTTTGTTATTCCCTTCTGACCATTTCTGACCGCAGTCCCATGCCGCCTCATGTCTGCCACGTCGTGTGAACTTTGCAGAGCTATCAGGAGTACCTTCGCTCCGCTGAACAGTCTCTAGGGCTCTAGGGGAACAAGGGAAAGGTACATCAAACTTATTTCACCTGCACACCATGCATCTGCAACCCCAGTTTGCCTTGACATGGTATCAGCTGCCACTCTCCATTCGACCAAGAAAGGCCTCAACCCACATGAGGTTCGCATGAAGCACTGCAGGACGTGTCCCTTTAGCTCTCGTAACAGCTTAACAGTGTCTCTGCACTTGAAGTCACTTCGGCATGCAAATTCACATAAGATAAGACGCAAACAGCTGCTTTGATTGGAGGATTTCTCAAGCATGACCGCCCCGTTGTATCGGAAAACTGTACCTGTCAGTGCAAAGCAGTTTCCGAACATATTGGCCTTGAAGCGGTGTGTCCTTGTACACAGAGGCTTCAAATAGCAGCATGAACTAGCCTACCAAAAACATATGTTTGGCGTTTCCAGCGCACATGTCTTGATTTCCCCCAGGGTCAGGCATTGACCATCCTCTTCGCCTCAAGAACCAAGAACTTTACTGATCTCTGAAAATGCTTACCGATACACGCCAGTGATGAGAAGGATCTAAGAAAAGCACGTCGCAAGGTGACATCAACATGAGGATGGACCTGACAGGGCGTCATGCACTTAAATCACTTAAACAATAAATGCAACAATCGCTGTTTTGGTCAACGATGATGCAATAGCAACCAGTCATTGCGCTTTCACTCACAATCACTTAGCACAGAACGCACTGCATACATGGCTTATCAGAAGATCCAACGTCTATCCTCCAAAACAAGTTCGAATAACAAGTTCCAAAGTTTCTAGGATGAAATCTCGCCGAATTAAAACTTTGGCTTCTCCTACTTTTCCCTGTAGCCCCACCGTGCCACTCTAGATTCATCAAACTCCCCCACACCCAATGTCCGGTTCTGCAACATCGAGTTTGTGTGCATTGCGAAATAGGTCCAATAGGTACGGTGTAGGTTTTTTGTCCTTGGCCAAGACGGATCCTCGCATTCGCAAGCCTGAGCAAGGCGATTCTATCGGTGGCATTCAGACCTGGAAGCAGGAAGGAGAACCAAACTATGCTTGCACATGACGGAACCTGACAGAACCTGACAGAACCTGACGGAATGGTCAGCTGAGAGTCCCCACCGTTGTGGAGCATCCTGTCTCTCCTTCTACAACTGCCTTAGAGCATGTGATCACTTGTCACAGATTGTCACAGGGACAACCTGCCTGGAAGAAGAATCAGCCTTTGAGTACACGGCTGGACAGAATTCTTCCACGCACTGAGAGCAAGCTTGCGCATCCTTTGAAAATGAGAAACTTTGTCAAAGGGGTCCTCTGTTTGGCTGTTTTGAAGGAGAAAACTGAGAAAACACTTCACATTCACATCAAGTAGATTCGCACTCTTAGTTGCAATTGCTGCATCCTTTCCTGCGTCACCAAATCTCGCTTCATCAACGGAAATGGACAAGTGCAGTCTCCAGGCCTCAATGAGACACTTGAAACAAAGAATCGACAAAGGCCAGAAAAAGGATTGAAAGAAGTGACAATCAAACGAGCAAAATGTTTCAAGCGTGCATCCTCAGTTTCATAAAGCATAATTTTCCTCGCGGGCACTGTGTCGCTACGAGTCGAGGGAATGTTTTGGTAGGTCAATGTCCAATCTTGCTGCATCTGACCGAACTGTTGAAGCTGATTGATGCATCCTCAAGCGGGAAAAGCCACTGCAAATGGTCTCAAAAAGAGCAGCTGCATCAGCTGTGAGACCTATGTCGGCCATCTCCTCAGCTTCATCCATCTGAAAGCGCAATTGACCAACTTCCCGCACCAAGTCCTCGATCTCGGTGTCTTGACATCTTCTAAGGCTGCCCTGGGAGGAAAAGTCTTCCATTGAAAATAGGGCACCAAAATCCAGCAGGGTCAGAACTGTCTTCTGGTGGTCGCCAAGACATGCCAAGTGCAAGGCTTTCTGGCCACTTCCCGTCTCAGCATCCGGCTTGACACCTCGCCTGCAAAAGAGTTGGACCACCTCTGCATGACCAGCAGCAGCTGCATGATGTATTGGCTCCCAGGTGTCCCCGGATGCAGCATGAAGAATTGCACGTCTATCCAAAAGCATGTCACAAATGTCTACGTGACCATTGGCAGCAGCCCAATGCAGAGGTCTGAGACCTTGAAAATTGGCTTCTTCAATCCTGGCTTTCCGATCCAACAGGAGCTCGCAAACATCAAAGTGTCCATGTTTGCAGGCTTCGTGCAAGGGCTGCTTTCCATCTGAGATCTCCTCTGCATCAATCTCAGCATTGGCTTCCAGCAGCAACAAGCACATATCTCGAAAACCTTTCTGTGCTGCCAAGTGAAGCAATCGCTCTCTCTTCGGCCACAAAGGTGCATTGACATTCACGCAGCGCTTTGCGGTGCCATAGCGCAGAATTGCCTGAGCCATGTTCACATCTCCGATTTCAACAGCTTTCTGCAACTCTGAATTGGTGGCTGCCTGCTTCAACACCACCTGATTGCTGGTGGGTCCTTTGTACCTCACCAAGTTTTTGAACTCTTCTGGTTTCGGCATTCGACGATGCACCTCACCAAGACTTGGCATAGCCATCCTTTCTGCGAGACAGGACAATGTTTTTGAATGTGGCAACAATTTGGCTAGCAAAAGCAGCGGAAAGTACGAAACTCCTTTGCGGCATACAAACTACACAACTCCAACACTTTCAATCCAATCCAAGAAAATGATCATGCAAAACGTGAGTAGCAGAGATACGATCGGATACGTTTTTTATCCCTTCTTGGTACCTGGCGTACACATTCCTTGCTCAGATGTGCACTGGTTTGAAACAAACCTGCACAGGTGTCCAAGTGGCATTTTGGGAGGTTTCATGAAGAAGGAGAGGAAGACATCGAAAAATAAAGACTAAAGGGACAATAGCAGAAAAAAAACAGCAAAGGATGGATTTTTTTTCCGTGAACTGTTGTGTTGATTGCATCGCGCCGGTTCGTTCCAAATAAAAACAAAGCAATCCTCTTTTCATCATAGAATAAGGAAATCTGTGCACTCCAACCTTGGAAGGATTTGGCCAGACAGTCCGAAGGCAATCAAAAAGATGATCACCGACAGGCTACAAGCCCACCTTGGTGCTGGTCAGTGATTTGCACCGCTTCGGCGGCTCGGCATTGAAAATCCATAAACTGAACACTTGTGGGGCAGCGGCTGACCCAGAAAATGATCTTCATGAGGCTGACTCTGCTGAACCTTGGCCCCACAAGCAAGGGAACAAAATACTACAGTTTTTTTCACTGCGAGGAGCCGGCCGAGTTGTCCACAGGTTTGCGCGTCATTCAGAATAAGAAAGGTTCTTCGGCAACACCTGTCCCAAGTTTCACCATTCAATTCACGAACCACCTGGAAGAAAACTGACCAAGCCTTGCGGTCATGCAAGCGGATGTTCAACAATTGCCGAGTGCAACATGAGTTTGCAAAATGGGTACGTTGTGGGTACATGTCTCTGCGTTTCTTCCGAAATGGCTGCGTGTACCAGGTCATTCACGCCAACATGTTGATTGTTCCATTTTGCATTCCGATGCATGTCTACCAGCCAGCAACTGCGGGCAGATTCAGTGAACAGCAATTCTTCAATCAAGTCACTGCATGGTGTCAGACCCATGTATCATTCATGAAATTTGAAGAGGGATATGTAATATATATATATATATTATATATTATATATATATTATATATATTATATATTATATATATATTATGTATTATATATTGTATATATATATTATTATATATATATATATTATTATATTATATTATTTATATATATATACATTATATATATTATATATATTATATATATATATTATATATATTATATATATATTATATATATATATATATTATATATATATATATTATATATATATTATATATATATATATTATATATATATATATTATATATATATATATTATATATATATATACTTGTATGTATACTACTGTGGTGGTTAAGCGGTGTGTTTTAGCTTACGGGGTTTCTCTCAGGCACATCCGCGGTAAAAACGGTAAAAATCGAAAATTTGGTGTTTTTACCACTTTGGGTTCGTTATTTCCGGGCAAACGCTACTTTGTTTGGCTGAACCTCCAGGGAACAAATGAACAAAGGCGTGAGATCAACCGAAGTCTGTGTCCAAAACACCAGCTGTAAAATGTGACCAGATTTCCAAAATCAAACCCTGGGCATTGAAAAGTCTGTGTGTGACACCTTTCAATGTGGACTTCGTGGTTCGGATTGCGTGTGGAAACCCTACCGGGATTACCGAAATTCCCCCAACAGCCCCAAAATGGACCTTTACTTTAAAGAAGCAGAACTTTGCCCCCAACACACTCCAAGTGGGTATGTCAAAATGTCGAATGCGTGATGGAGAAACAGCTGATTCATTGCAGGATGACCAAAGTTTAGCCACGAAGCATCACAAAGAACATTCCTTCCATGCCCTCCATGCCAAACACATGTCAAATCATCGTTTGCCTGAATCCATGGCACTCTCGACTGCGTGGAGTCACGCACGTGACAGGCCAAATCAATATAAAGATATACTATCATGTGAGCCGTGAGCCGTTTGATGTCACATCATGTCACGTCCATCCCAACGTCCAACATCCCAAGATTCATCAATGCACCGCCAGCTGGTCTGGCTCGTGCTAGTGGCACATGAGTTTCTTTTTGGTTGAGCCCCTTTTTTTCACTACAGGCGGACGCTAATCACTACAACTGTTCTAAATCCTGGTCAAGATGGTTGAATCACCCACCATATCAACTCATTGGGACAATCCCACAATATCCCACGCGCACATGACACGTCTGAGACCACCAACCAGGAATTGTAAACCTATATGTTGGGATCTCGTTTTTTGGATCCCATCTGTGCCAATGATTGCAGAACCCAAGAACCTATGGAATTTTGATTGATTTTCTTCAAGGACCACAGCTCCTCTGCAAAATGTTACTGCCACCTTCTACTCAATGGGCAGATCTGGCTATTTGCGGCATTGTGGCAGTGTTGGCTCTCAGGGCTCGCTCTTTGCACTGGCTGTTGCTGAAAAATAGTACCTTTCATTAAATCGATCATTAGCCGCGGCCAATCAGCCGTCGAGAAAAACTGTGGAGAGGCACGGTGCTTGCTTCGTCACACGCCGAAAACAAAGTGCTCGATCCACTCAAGCCCGTGAGCTTTGATACCTTTGATTTGTTTCATAAAGATTCTTAAAAACGGAACAACTTCCAGAAACGCTGTGCTGACTCTACCGCAAGCTATGCCACACCGTCCACAGCCAGTGTCGCGTTCGAAACTGAAAACATCAGCATGGCCTGCAGCTGACTGAAGAAGCTTCCATCATGGACAACATGGACAGAAATTTATGCTAACATCGCACGGGAATTCTCCCAAAAGCACCACCAGAAGCTGTCCTTTTTGTCTGAAACCCTGACTCCCTTCCCCACAGTAGAGCTCATCAAGTTTCAGCCAACTTTTCCGCACAGCGCAAGTTAACATTGGGAATTCAAACAAGTTGATAGACCAATTTTCTGGATTCACAGCCTGTTGAATTGCTTGACCCATCCATTTGCCAACAACCCGAAACGTATCGCAAAGCAGCCTGGTGGAAATCCACTTCTTCGATCCATCCGCTGCCATTCACATCCAACAGCCTTGCTGCGCGCTGCAGCACAGCTCCACCAGCACTGTCACCATTGCGCTGGGCAAAGGTGCCAAGGACTGTTTCAGCTGCCTGAATTTCAATCGGTGATGGGAACCGATGAGGGCCCACGGACCAGAAAATGATCAAACTCTGTGGGTTGGCAAAAGTTGAAGTTTGGACAGCCAGAACATTGAAAGTATGGGCCGTTTCAGGTCAAATCACGGCTCATGGTTTTGGTGTCAACGCCCGTAAGGGGCCATGCGCGTGTTGGTGTTTTTTGTCCACAAAAAAGTTGCCGAAATCAGTGCTTGAATTACAACCTTATCAGAAACCATAGCAATTGCGAACTTTGACCTCAAAATGAGGCGGTTTGCAGAGGTTTGAGATATTTCACAAAGAGACATCAAGATATTGAAACAAATAAATCAAAATTTGCAAAAAAACAAAAAATTGTAAAAATAGTTGATTGAAGCCAACGATGAAATGCGTTAACACTCCCGCGCTCCTCAAGGCGCAGTGACAATGTTTTTGTGTGCATCTCTCTTGCGAACCACACCACCAGACTGCAAACACTCCAAAACTTATACAGTATTCCATTGTCACCTTTGCAGGGCAATGGTTCCAAAGCGGGTGCCGAAGGGCCGGCCCACAAAAAATGGCGAGGTGCCAAACTCTGTTCCATCTTAAATATGCTTAAATGCCCAAAGAACCCAACAAAACCACCGGAGTTGCTGCACCTCCAAGGCTAAAGGCGCCTTTTCACGCGACAAGGCTGAAAAGAGCTGACGCCTGAGTCCACAGCGTTGCACAGCAGCTGCCAGGCGTTCCACTAGGTTTTGGGCCTTGCCATGGGCCAACAACAGCCCTCAACCAGATCTGGGATCACCCCACAAGAAACTGAGATGGTAATCTGGCATGTTTTATGGATGTGTTTGAAACCGAAAGGTCGCTGAAGGCGCCAGTTCTGTTTTGGGCCCTGCTCCAAAACTGCCATCGCGGCATTCTGGGCTTTGGATTCCTTCAGACCCAAGAACAATTTTTTATCAGCTTCGTGGCTTATTTGCTAGGGTGGCTCTGGATTTCATATTGTTGGATAAAACTACACACATCAAATGCATCAATGCAAGTTGAAGCTGATGCAGCCTGCACCCATCTTTGCCCCTCCGCGCACCTCCAAGTCGAGTAGGAGCTCCTTCAACCACAACGGAACCAAAACGATTCCAACAAACTTGCCACCAACATGTTGCGCCTGTTCTGCAAATGGCCTCCGTGACATGTTTCTGATCTTGTGTCCAATTTTACCAAATTGTTATTATATATATATACATACATACATACATTACATTACATTACATTACATTACATACCATTACATACATACATTACATTACATTACATTACATACCATTACATTACATACCATTACATACCATACCATTACATACCATACCATTACATACCATACCATTACATACCATACCATTACATACCACATACCATACCATTACATACCATACCATTACATACCATACCATTACATACCATACCATTACATACCATACCATTACATACCATACCATTACATACCATACCATTACATACCATACCATTACATACCATACCATTACATACCATACCATTCCATACCATACCATTCCATACCATACCATTCCATACCATACCATTCCATACCATACCATTCCATACCATACCATTCCATACCATACCATTCCATACCATACCATTCCATACCATACCATTCCATACCATACCATTCCATACCATACCATTCCATACCATACCATTCCATACCATTCCATACCATTCCATACCATACCATTCCATACCATACCATTCCATACCATACCATTCCATACCATTCCATACCATTCCATACCATTCCATACCATTCCATACCATTACATACCATTACATACCATTACATACCATTGCATACCATTGCATACCATTGCATACCATTGCATACCATTGCATACCATTGCATACCATTGCATACCATTGCATACCATTGCATACCATTGCATACCATTGCATACCATTGCATACCATTGCATACCATTGCATACCATTGCATACCATTGCATACCATTACATACCATTACATACCATTGCATACCATTGCATACCATTGCATACCATTGCATACCATTACATTACATACCATTACATACCATTACATACCATTACATACCATTACATACCATTACATACCATTACATACCATTACATACCATTACATACCATTGCATACCATTGCATACCATTGCATACCATTGCATACCATTGCATACCATTGCATACCATTGCATACCATTGCATACCATTGCATACCATTGCATACCATTGCCTACCATTGCATACCATTGCATGCCATTGCCTACCATTGCATGCCATTGCATGCCATTGCATGCCATTGCATGCCATTGCATGCCATTGCATGCCATTGCATGCCATTGCATGCCATTGCATGCCATTGCATGCCATTGCATGCCATTGCATGCCATTGCATGCCATTGCATGCCATTGCATGCCATTGCATGCCATTGCATACCATTGCATGCCATTGCATGCCATTGCAAATGCCATTGCTGCCATTGCATGCCTTGCATGCCTTGCATGCCATTGCTGCCATTGGGCATGCCATTGCTCATTGCCATCCATTGCATGCCATTGCATGCCATTGCCATGCCATTGCATGCCATTGCAGCCAATTGCATGGCATTGCCTGCCCTTGCATGCCCATTGCATGCAGTGCATGCCATTGCATCCATTGCATGCCATTGCATGCCATTGCATGCCTTTGCATGCCATTGCATGCCATTGCATGCCATTGCATGCCATTGCATGCCATTGCATGCCATTGCATGCCATTGCATGCCATTGCAATGCCATTGCATGCCAATTGCAGGCCATTGGCATGCCATTGCCATGCCCAGTTGCATGCCATTGCATGCCATTGCATGCCATTGCCATGCCATTGCATGCCATTGCATTGCCATTGTCATGCCATTGCATGCCATTGCTCCCAGTGCATTCCATTGCATGCCATTGCTGGCCATGCATGCCATTGCATGCCCTTTGCCATGCCAGTGCATGCCATTGCATGCCATTGCATGCCCATTGCCATGCCCATTCATGCCATTTTCATGCCCCATTGGCATCCATTCATGCCATTGCATGCCATTGCATGCCAATTGCATGCCGATTGCTGCCATTTGCATGCATTGCATGCCCATTGCATGCCATTGCGTGCCATTGCATGCCATTTGCATGCCATTGCATGCCATTGGGCATGCCCATTGCATGCCATTGCATGCCATTGCATGCCATTGCATGCCATTGCATGCCATTGCATGCCATTGCATGCCATTGCATGCCATTGCATGCCATTGCATGCCATTGCATGCCATTGCATGCCATTGCATGCCATTGCATGCCTTTGCATGCCATTGCATGCCATTGCATGCCATTGCATGCCATTGCATGCCATTGCATGCCATTGCATGCCATTGCATGCCATTGCATGCCATTGCATGCCATTGCATGCCATTGCATGCCATTGCATGCCATTGCATGCCATTGCATGCCATTGCATACCATTGCATGCCATTGCATGCCATTGCATGCCATTGCATGCCATTGCATGCCATTGCATGCCATTGCATGCCATTGCATGCCATTGCATGCCATTGCATGCCATTGCATGCCATTGCATGCCATTGCATGCCATTGCATGCCATTGCATACCATTGCATACCATTGCATACCATTGCATACCATTGCATACCATTGCATACCATTGCATCCCATTGCATACCATTGCATACCATTGCATACCATTGCATACCATTGCATACCATTGCATACCATTGCATACCATTGCATACCATTGCATACCATTGCATACCATTGCATACCATTGCATACCATTGCATACCATTGCATACCATTGCATACCTTTGCATACATTTGCATACATTTGCATACATTTGCATACATTGCATACATTGCATACATTGCATACATTGCATACATTGCATACATTGCATACATTGCATACATTGCATACATTGCATACATTGCATACATTGCATACATTGCATACATTGCATACATTGCATACATTGCATACATTGCATACATTGCATACATTGCATACATTGCATACATTGCATACATTGCATACATTGCATACATACATTGCATACATTGCATACATTGCATACATTGCATACATTGCATACATTGCATACATTGCATACATTGCATACATTGCATACATTGCATACATTGCATACCATTGCATACATTGCATACATTGCATACATTGCATACATTGCATACATTGCATACATTGCATACATTGCATACATTGCATACATTGCATACATTGCATACATTGCATACATTGCATACATTGCATACATTGCATACATTGCATACATTGCATACATTGCATACATTGCATACATTGCATACATTGCATACATTGCATACATTGCATACATTGCATACATTGCATACATTGCATACATTGCATACATTGCATACATTGCATACATTGCATACATTGCATACATTGCATACATTGCATACATTGCATACCTTGCATACATTGCATACATTGCATACATTGCATACATTGCATACATTGCATACATTGCATACATTGCATACATTGCATACATTGCATACATTGCATACATTGCATACATTGCATACATTGCATACTGTGCATACATTGCATACATTGCATACATTGCATACTTGCATACATTGCATACCTTGCATACATTGCAATACATTTGCATACATTGCATACATTGGCATACATGTGCATACATTGCATACATTGCATACATTGCATACATTGCATACATTGCATACATTGCATACATTGCATACATTGCATACATTGCATACATTGCATACATTGCATACATTGCATACATTGCATACATTGCATACATTGCATACATTTCATACATTGCATACATTACATACATTACATACATTACATACATTACATACATTACATACATTACATACATTACATACATTACATACATTACATACATTACATACATTACATACATTACATACATTACATACATTACATACATCACATACATTACATACATCACATACATCACATACATCACATACATCACATACATCACATACATCACATACCATTCATACCATTTCATAACCGTTAATAACATTACATAACTTACAAACATTACATAACATTCATAAAACATTCATACCATTACATACCATTACTTACCATTACATAACATTATGCATACCATTACATACCATTACATAACATTACATACCATTACATACCATTACATACCATTACATACCATTACATACCATTACATAACATTACATAACATTACATAACATTACATTACATTACATTACAGTACATACATACATGCAATACATACATGCATTACATACATGCATTACATACATACATTACATACATACATTACATACATACATTACATACATACATTACATACATACATTACATA